GGGAACTCAGACATCAGCCTTGTCATATCATGGTAGACAATACTCAGAGCAGATCCGAAATATTGGCCCTTGACAGCAACAATTTACAAAATAGCATGTGCAATGCATGACATGCTCTACGGGCCGTTTCAGGGAATACCTGGCATCCCTGTAATCCCGAGAACGAAAAAAACAAAAAAAAGGTCCACCAACGCGCACATGCCGTTCCGCAACGTTATAACCCCCCCCCCCACTAGAATCCCTTCCCACAATACTCACGCCCTAAAATCAAATACAACAACGCTTCCACCTCCCCCATACCCGCCTCCCAAAACAGATACCCCCCAGGTACAGACACATACCCCCACCCACCAAACCAAAACCGCGAATAGCGAAAACACCCACAAAGTTCTCCTCACCCTAAACGCAGAAATCGAAGAGGGAGGAAGCGTCTCGTCGGGCGGGAAACCTTAGCTTCTAAACCAGTTTTACCTCTTCCGTCATTTATACTTTGAGTAATCATATTTTATGGAACCAATTAAATTTTTTGCTCGTCGCTGTTAGGGTTGCTCGATTTCCGTATGTTATGCCAGCTTTTTCGCTTGGGAGTGGAGGTCGGGGGGGCGGGGGAGGCGAGTGAGGTTTCGTGATAAGGGGTGGGTTAAGCAAGGAGAAAGTGGAATCGGGGTTATCACATGATTTCATATTATATCTGGGAGACTGGGGCAGATGGTATTGGGTGGTGTAAGGTAGGCGTGGAGATGGGTGTATGGCATGTATGAACTCCGTTCTTGGAGGTAGTGGATGAGAAGGATTGTTGACACTTCGGAGTACCATATTAGGCTAGAATCAGATTTCGGGGATCGTTGTGTATAAGGAAACACGTTTCTAGCTAGATGTTGCGATAGGCTGGTTTCCGTGTTCTCTCCCTATGACTTGGGGCCGCTCATGATAGTTCATGGACATCATTGAGAGTCCGGGAGAGGGTCCGAGACGGTAGGAGCCAGGAATGGTGCGAACAGAACGCCCAGTCTATCCAAGGAAAACACATCATAAGAGGGATCCACAATGATGAGCTAATATCTCAATTGGATTGCACAGTCCTTTGTACACACTAAACCCCAATCTCATCTCCCCACCCACCCCCAGCCTCACTCCACCTCGTCCATTTCCCCCTCCGCAACAGCCCTACAAGACACCACCTCTCAGACGCAACCCCCGCCCCAAGAACCAAACACCCTCGCCTCTGACCTCTCCACAAAACACCCCCTAATCCTACCGTTAGCAAGAAACCCGCCCCCACCAATATCGCCACACCGCTCCTCACACCGATGGTTTGCTCGACAAGGTCGGAGACCCCAACACCCAAGGCGGCTAGAATCAATGATAGGGAGTGGAACACCGCCATACCCGCGCTAATCTCCGGATGCGATGTTCTGAACCCTGCGTCCCCGGGATCCTGAAGCATTGCCGGTCTACAGGTTCCATGTGGCAGTCCTCCCGAGCTTGCACCATTTGAGACACTACCGAATCGACCCAGCCTAACTGCCGGCAAGTCACTGACATCCCAGTTATCCTATAAAATAAGATGGCATTCGGTGAAAGCGAGTGTCCCAGAGAAAAATGCGAAAGCAGCCAAGGCTATCAGTATCGCAAAGTGTGTCGGGTGACCAGTAGCAGATATAGCAAAGCCTAAACTTGATACAAGAAGGAAAAAAGTAGAGAAGAAAAGTGAGCCACGATAGCGATGATCCATGCTAGAATGGGACGCCGTTAAGTGCGCTACATGATACGCAAGATGCCGAAAGTTACGGGGGTAGAAGGTTGAGTGCTGGAATGGTATTGAAATAAGAGAGGCAATAGGAAGGGCAAGGACGGCTAAGCCAACATCGATTGACCCAAATCCGTAGTAATGGGAGGTGAGGGGCACGAGGAGCTTCGGGGGGATTAGCAAACATTCACAAACCACATTTTCCATATACCAACATCCATGATCACAGACACTTGTCCCATAACCCAGGCAGTGTATACTGCCAGAATGAGAAATCGGCTTGTCCATACATCCTCCCTGTCATTTCTAGTCCGGCCCAAACTCCCTTCCACCACCATTCAGGCGGCTTCCCAAATATCACCAACGCCAACTCACCTCTCTCCATCCTCTCCTGACCCACCCAGACTGCCCCTCCCCGCCTATCAACCGCCTCCACGGCGGCCGCACCTCCGGTATCGCTGCTGCCACAAGGAATAGCACAACACCCACGATGGCCGCTATCCAAAAGCCCCAGGCTGGACCCATTTTTTCGGTAATTACCCGACCAGCGAAAAAGCCAACACCAGGGGATGCCACAAAGAACCATACCCAAACGCCTAGCCACATCCCCACCCTTGCGCCCGCCTCACCTCCGGGCAGTTGGTGGTATTGATCCACCCCCTCGATTAGGAAACCCTTGTTGAAGACTATACCACCCCGGCAGCATTCCCCAGTGTCTGGTCCAAACATATCAAGAATCGTTGCAAAGAAGACTAGTAAACCCCATGGCAATGCGGAGGAGCTTCTGAAAACAAGCAAGCAAACCACATATAGCAGCATAGATTCGCCCGCACGTTGTCCAAAAGTGGTATGTAGCGGAAGAGAAAGAGCCTAGGGAAGTTGTAGAGGTACCATAAGTGCCAGAGATACTAGCGAGTATGACTTCGTTCCATGTAAAAGGGGAAGCGGCCAGAATACCAACCCACATAAGCCTACACCAACAAGAAAACTAACATTCCCTAGCGCGACAATATTCCCGCTTACTTGGAGGCTTTTTTGCACAGTTGCCGCCTCACCAGAATAGCGCCCCACTATAAACCCCATAAACCCCGGAATTAAACACGCAATTACAGCAGCAATTCGCTTTTTTCGTAGGCTCCAATCCCACCCCCCTGTATACCGGTCGCTATGGGCTGGCTCATGGATCCGGGCATCCAGCTCGCGGTCTCCAAAATATCCAAAATCTGTATCCCTGGGCCCCTTAAGAGCTCTGGGGTATCCCCCAAATGGTCCAACCTCCACCGGGAAACGCGGCCGGCCATCTAGAGGGCCCGCGCTACGAGAGGGTCGACCCTCTCTACGAATAAACTTAAAATATTCTGTGTGATGCGCGTCTCGAGCAGCCCCAAAGGTTTCAGCCTCCGCTTCGGGGTGCGAACTTTGCTCATATTTTCCCTGACCATTAATAAATCCCCTATGATTGTGAACAACAGAAGTACTCAGGCTAATGATTTCTGCTGTTCCGAGAGCTTCGGTGGGCAGAGCGAGGATTTTATCGTCCTGCTGAAGCTCGTTGGCAGTTTTGAAAGACTCGGTACTGCTGTTATCCCCAGCTTGAGAGACGACACTAGTTCTTGCCCTTCCGCTCCGGCCTGGACCGACATCTCCTTGATACAAAAAGGCCCGTGTACGATATAAGCTGCCACCCTACTTGCCAAGTCAAGCGCCTGGCTAAACATAACTTCCAAGTCATAAATCACCCGCCGCAGTGAGTTGGTAGAGGATGGAATAACAGCCTGAGTTGCAACTCTAACGGTAGTTTGGGCACATTCCACAGGCCTAACGGACACTTCATGTCTTAGCACTTCAGAGTCTGAGCGCGCTACTGGGAATGAGCCTGGTAAGCGGTAAGCACAATGCCATTTCCCTTGGGAACCCTTTGAAACTATGCTTTCCAACGAACTTTCTCCAATCGCGGACCGGGAGCCTTCTAGGGAGGCAACGCCCCCCCGGGGCGTGCCCTGAAACTGTAACATCTGCATACTGATGACCGTCAGCCCATGGGGATTCGACCTCAGTCCAATTTCCGATAGCCATAGAATTAACTCCCTCATTGGTCCATGTCTCTGGAGTTAGCGGGATAACTTTCATGAGGGGCTGCGGTATTTCAATCGGGTTAGATGGAATCTTGATAAGGTTTGCATGGTCCGGAAGAAACAATTTATGCGCAAAAAGTCCAGGACCGGGGCGCATAGACCGTTAGGCACTAGAAGAGCTATCGTAAATAATAGCCACGATCGAGTCGGTTGTCGGAATCGGCTCAGAAGGAGGTCTACCAAGAATATTTTTTCGGACCTTCTCAGGATTAAGCCCCCATCAGTAATCTGGGGGTCTTCTTCGGCACCGCAACCGGACGAATCCTCCAAATCATCGTTCCGCGCTTGAGGGGCTTCACCAGGACTGGGAATCCCATCCACTTTCTGCTTGGCCAAATACCCCTTGTGCAGGCTAGGCGGGAAGACCGCAAATATGAAGCTGACATTGGCATATCCTTCATGAGAGTGAAATCGGGCACAGAATTCTGCGGAATGCTCCCGAAAGCGATCACCCTAGGGAATGATAAAGTCGACAAGGTATTTAATCCCGAGTCTCGCCAACCCACACTACAAGATTCATCGTCGCCATAATACGAGGAAGTACCATTAGCATCACTAGGAGAACTCGAAAGGGTGCTCTCCGGCCCGGGAGGTCTTAATGCACGCACCCGAGTGAACAACGCAGAATCAGACGGCTCTATCGAGTCTGGGGTTTGAGGATCACTCTTACGGGCACGACACGGGGCACGATGATCATTAGAGGAGGCACTGAGATCTAAACCAAAACCTCCAGGGCATACTGGGGAGAGTGTAGCTGGTATTCGGCGCCGCTTCCCCATGAAAAGAGGTGGGAGAGGTGAAGGGAGAGTATGGAAATAAGGTAGTTGGGGGAAAGGGGGGGGGTTGAGGTGAGGTTAGAAACAATGGGGGGTTTTGTAAACCAGTAGGAATCAAAAGTCGTGTCAATGATGGATTCCAACAAATAGTTTCACAATTTAGCTCATCACGTGATGCTTCAACTTACTCAATAAGCTACACTCACCAAGGATACTCCCGATAAGGAGAGAAACGAGAGCTTATCAATCCAATCACAACACATGAACCCGCTTCCGGCGCCCGATCGCCAAGTCGAACCTGATTCTGACTCGTTTCTGTCTCTGTCTCTCCCTCCCTCATACTCTTGCCCCCTTAGGACCTTTATTCTATCGAGCTCCACCCACGAAAAAGGCTCCCCTTGCCAGGATCAAAGGGAAAAGAAGAGAGGGAAAAAAAGGGCGGAAGCGAAAAGGGTGAAAGAGAGATCAAGAACCTTAACTGCCGGTACCGAGTACTGTGTTTTCCTATACGATCATGATACTTTATTGTTCTCTCACCATTTTTCCTCTATAAGTTGGATGGTCTAGCCTTCAAAATAAATTTTACGATATCTTAAATACAATCAGGCTTCATCGGTCAATATTGTACCGCCGTCGCCCCTCACTCGATCGCTCACACGATCCGTTTCTGTTGCCCTTTCGATTCGTTCTTATAGTCCTAGTTTCTCTCCCCTAGACAGAGACATATCGCGCCCAACACTCCCCTTCCCTTTTGGATTAATTTTGCATCAGTCTTCCGCTGCGCTTCTGCAGTTTCCCGCAGAGAGTTTCTCTCCCCTCTTTCTTTCTCTTGTCCCTTTTCCCTTCGATACCGTGCCCTCCAGTTCCCTTCCCCTCTCTAATGTTTGTTCCCTCGCTTCGGCTGCCCGCTTACGAACACCATCGCCATCCAATTACTGACCTACAAGACAAGAGCTTACCTCCAATCCCCGCCAGATAATTCAACCACAGCTGCAACCCCCCCCCCGTGGATCACCAGAGTTACTGCAGTAATTGAATTTTCCTCCTAATCACCGTTGCCGTTTGAACATCCCTCATGACTATCGATATGAGACCAAAGAAGGCTCTATTTTTATTATGCCTTCCTGACGAGTTGCTCGTTGAGATAATCTCTCGTAAGCCATTTCTCAGCACCATTTCTATCAATTACTAACCCAGAAAGACCTACCCCCGAAGGATGTTATCCCCCTGCATGCAACCTCTCGTCGCCTACGAGCCCTAACTCGACTTGACCCAACCCTCTGGCGATCGCTCTGTTCCTACCGCGAAGGCTCGTCTCTTACCGTACTGACCCCTCCTCGAACACCCATCTCTGATGTCGAATGTGCCACCATAGATTGGTACACTGAATACAAGTTTCGTAATGCTCCTACGAGGATGCTCTGGGTTGGCACCGGCTCCCCGACTGTGGGAGACGAGGTGAAGGGTATTGGGGCATTCCCATCCAGGGGTGGGAGTACCGAGGATGATATGGTCGTTGCGGCAACATCTGATGGGAGCGTCAAGATTTGGAGTTTACAGGATAATTGTGCCGCCAGGGAAATTGGAAAATCTGAAAGGGGATTAATATTTTCGCAAAAAAAGAGAACGCCAGCTCTCGAGGCTCAACAGAAGATACGGGAAGCGGGAATCGTCGATGGGGTTTCCATCGATGCAGCGGCGGGCAGGATCTGGGTCGCCGGAGAGGATGGTTTGGTTGAGATCGTAAGTGTTACCGGCCCAGTACCGCAACCACATATCGCTAACTTGGCCAGGATTTAACATCTCTGAAAAGAATCTCGACCCACCGGTTCCCGTTCTCTATTATGGCTCTTTCGCAAACCTCCTCCCCCTACCCCTTAACAATAGGCACTACCCTAACCCTACATATGCACGATTCCAGAGTATCGCCAAACTCTCCCCCACCCGCCCATGCTCCTCTCTTTCAACCGGGACCCCTATCGATCCTTCATTCCGGCTCAAGTGTAAAGGTAGCCGGCCGATTCCCGTCATTATTGTCGTATGACCGTCGAGGTTGGCCAAAACTTACCTCAACAATACATTCTGGCGCCCGGCTCTGCGGCTTAACAACCATTGGCACTTCGGGCCTTGCCGCATGTGGAGAATACAACGGTAGGGGAACACTAGAGATATACCCCGGTCTAGGATCACCATACCCTATTGTTAAAAACCGGCAAACTGCCGCCAGAAGTAAAATCCTCACTGTAACGTCACACGGGAGTTACCTAGTCACCGGTAATGCAGAGGGATGTATAAGCTTTTTCGAGAGGGATGCTAGAACAGTGATTCGCGAACATTGGGTTGAGGGTGGGGGGAAAACCTCCTCTGGTATATGGAATGTGGGTGAGGATGGGGGTGATGTGATTCGGCGGGTGAAACCACTACGGGGCGGGGATGGGAAGATATTAGTATGGGCAGGTGATAGGCTCGGGTTATTGGGCGTTGGAAAGGAACGACAAGAGATCCCGGAAGAGGCGGTGCGCCCCGAAAGTGAAGAGGAGGAGTACCTAACGAAGATGAGAGAGTTATTGAGACGGCAGGGTGAGGAAGTTGGAATCTTGGAAGGTATGGGCTTGTAGTGCGCATAGATTAACTTATTTCAGAGAATAGGGTAGCCTCTTGGAGCTTTAGCTATTGTGGGAGTAGTGCTCGGGGGTGTAGAAGGTTTTGTACCACTGATTTCAACACATCGGTAGCATCACAAATACCGATTCCGCAAATTATTCTCACATTTCCTATAATTATCCCGTGAACCTCCGAAACCTCAATAAAGCGTTTGCAGGAGCCACTTGCGTATTCCAAAGCGGCAGAATTAAGTACACCAACCCGAAAACATGTATGATCGCCCACCGAACTCATCATCAAGTTCACCACTCCCCTCTTCAATCACTATCCAAATCCCACTTCTACCCCCCCCTTAGCTCTTCTTCACATGCAATGACAGCAATCATTTTATTCAACTAGAACATTCCTTTGGACCCCCCCGTCCCTTCCTACGCCCGAGCACATCATATAACTTACACATTTCGTGAGAGCACTAGGTTTTCTTCCTACAATTAGAGGCCAGTCTTGATCATATCCAACGATAAACCTTCTCCTCGAACTTGCCCGTTCGCCAGGCTAACACAAGGACGCAGGACCATGACCCCGCCCTAACAATTCCCCTTCCCTATATAATCTCAAATGGCCAGAAGCCTTTGGATGTTATGTTTGGTATGGTAGCACTTGCAGCTGTTCTGCGGTTATGTTATAGTCTTGTACTTGGGCACCAATTCTTGCCAAAGTTGTTCCAAGACGCTCGGGGATGGTGAGCTTCCTCGCCATTAGAGATTTCAGCAGCCTCTACTGGCGGCGTTGCTATGCAACCAAAACCCCTTCCCCGGTTTCCCAGCCCAGGCAAATGCAAAATAAAGCTGCTGGTAACATCCTCCGGCGATCGGCTTTCCAGATTATGGCAGATTGGGCCACTCTTTTCTTGTTCTCAAGATTAAGACGCATCTCCATACCACCCCGTGTGGTTGGTAGGCCTGAAACCGGGCAAAAATGGAGGGATATATCTCAATCTAATCATCTTTTTTTTTTTTTTCCCCTTGCCCCCCTCATCCGTGCGATTGGGACCCAGAAAGGAAAGTTTTCACCACCAGACCATCCCCCCCTTCCTTAACCCCCCCCGAAGTCTGTGGCTAGAGGGAGTCGGTCGGTGACCGATAGTTTCATGTTATCATACTCTAATAAACCCTGAACATAAAATTGTGAGCAGAGAAAACCCATTCTACTGTATATCAAGAATGCAAAGTTTTACCCACAGTGCTTAAAATTGGTCAATAAATCTCCTTTTTAGGAAAATGCCGGGGTAGGCTCCCTGCCAAGCTGTGTCAAGACCATGCGCTAATACCTTGTTTGGCACCCTGAAAAATTGTTTTTCGCACAAACCACATTTTCACTGCCTAATATGTCTCCTGGAATTTCAAATATATATATACCAGAGAGTGCACTCAGATCCAGTGTATTTTTAAATGAAATGTTTAGATTTTGGTGATTTTGGTGATTATATTTTCGTGCTTAAAAGTTGAAGTATTATTTCCTTGGGTGTGGGGGAAACATTACATTATGCTGGGATAAAAACCCGTTGCTGGTATTCCGTATGGAAGGGCGCGGGATCGGCTGGTACAGAATAGGTTTTCTCATTGCGAGTAACTAATTGGCACACCAGGTTTGGTCAGTCTATGGGAGAAACGGTAAGCTAAGTATACCTGGTATTTACACAGAACCACAGCGCTCCATACAAGTGCACACGGATGATGAATCCATCCTCACGATAGATGGTTGCGCCCCGCTCTATAAGATGCCCACTCGCCAATCACCCAGTACCATTTACCAACATCACCACTTCTGCAGGTGCAGCGAGAAACTCAGAAACACGAGTATTCACATAGCTCTGTTGGATGCGTGAATGGACCCGTCATAGGGGGGCGTTGACATTCACACACCCAGGTACACCCGTTTTACTCATGATGATTTCTGCGACATTCTGCATCGTAGAAACGGGGAGCGAGATCGAGAACGAGCATAGGATATTGATTTTCAGTTATTTTTGTCTTTGGTTGGTTCTTCTTACATCGGGGTATCCGCTCGTCTGACAAACTACTAATCCAAACAATCAATCTTGCTAAATTACATTCCCAGTTTTTCGAAAAGGTCACTTGTGTGGAGTGGGAGAGGGCGGAACCCAGATGCCAAGTATCATAATATTATCATACTTCCAAAAGAAGCCCAGGAACGAAGAGGGGTCAGCACGCTTCCGCCAACTCAAGACCAGGGATGTAGTTCAAACATTAGTAAATCATGTGACAACCACATTTACGCCTATTCCTGACCTTCCCTATACCGAAGACATTAATGTCCCACCTTTTGAGCGAGAGTTGTGCGAAGGGCCAGGTTACGAGTCAACAAAAGGGAGTCCGTTAATACCCTCCGTGCTATGATTATCATACCCATCCCCGCCGCGTCCCCGCCATAACATATAGGCCAGCCCCCCTCCCCCGCACTCCCAGAATATTATACCACGCTCACCGAATCTCCCTTAATCCTTACCACCTCTCTAACCCTTTCCTTCCCTCACTAACCTTGAGACAGGATACACCAGTCGAACGATCACAACCCCTCACTCGCTCCAGTGTTCGGACGGTAAGTCTACTTGTGGGAGGCGGTGTTTGGCAAACGTGATTTGGATTTCAAATCATTATTTGAAATCATGGGGGTGTTTATCCACGCAACTTCGAATTTAACCATTATTAATTTTGAAAATGCGATTTTGATTTGGGGTTTGATCGTGTGATTTGGATAACATGTATTCAGGGCAATGTGAATAATCATCACAACAAAAAGCCGGTTGTAACAACCGTTCCTGTTTCTCATCTCGGGGCCAAGGAAAAATCATAACAGGTTAAGTGACCTAAATTGGAATCCAAATCATGATCAAGTCTGGGTAACATACGATTTCTGATTGGTTTTTTTTTTTAAAAAAAAAGAAAAGAAAAAGGTGATTTCAAATCACAAAATCGCCATCTGAAATCCAAATCACGTTCACCAAACACCCCCATTACAGCGTGCGATACAGCACGATACAGCGCGGCAGCCCGCCATAAACCCACCCAAGGCTATCAACCGGGCAAGTATCATACATGGAAGAAAGCTCCAGATTTCAATAGAGATGTGAGAAGGGGAACGCTTTACATGCGGCATATTATTATACGGAAGAGGAAAAGAAAGCCCAACTTATGCTTCCCAATACATGATTAGCCACCGCCATTGCGGACGTTATTTTTGTGGGTCCGGCTTGGCTATTACGGGCTTGATTAATCATGCCCACTCTCCTCGGCATGGGCTCCTATGCCATTATCTCATACTCGAGTACGGTAGCGCGAGGTAGCGTTGCAATACTGTGTGGATCTCACCTTATCATCAGATGTTTTCGGCTTTTGTCAAATGCTATCATAATTATTACGCTATGATTATAATATCATCAAATTTGATAACAAAAAATACACCTGACGACTTCTTTTTCTTTGTAAGTTCTACCTCCTTTCTAACCTTTTCAGATGTACGTAAGGTGACATAATTAAAATATTGCCAGATAGCTTTTTGGTACTAAGATCATGTTTTGTTCCGGAGATGTAATCGAATTTTTAACCTGTTATAAAAACTCCGTTTGACTCAGGAGTGTATGATATATACGGTACTGGTAGCCGGCAATACTGTAGCATGCTGCGGGAGACCGCTGTGGTAAGGTGTTGAGGGGAGGGAGGCCTTCTTCCTTATTGATTGCCATGGCGCAAAGACGTTCCCTAAATGCAGGATGGAGAACATATTGGCCGCGTCACAAAAGTTGTCAATGCAATTGGTCATAATGTTTCTGTAGGACATCTACGTGTCCCATATAGATAGTATCATACTGTGTTGCGACATTGTGAACTCTACTATCCATCTCTTTTCCTCTCTTTTCTTTCCTTTTCTTTTCTTCCCTCCCATTTCCTCACCTCTGCTGTCCCCAAACCACTGGGCAAGCCCCAGCCCAGCCCGGCTGGTGAGCGCCCCCTGGTCCAGGCTACCGCCGGCTTGTATAGAATGCTGTATTAATTCCTAGTAACATAGTGGGAGCCCAACGTGGATGGTTAGGATAGGGTTTGTTTGTGATTGGGTGGGGAGGGGAGGGGGTGGATTTGTGGAGTTGGGGTCGAGAGTAGGGTATAGGGGAGAGGAAATTGGTAGGTATAGGGGAGAGGAAATTGGTAATAGTGATGGGTAGTGAATGGCCAGGCAGCAGTGTAGCGTGTGCCATCACTATTCTAGCGCCCGGCATGGGGATCCTCGCCTCAATATTGAGAGCCTGGGCTCGAAATTCTCGAGGATGGCTAGGAGGATATGCTTTCCGTGTGGAAAATCCCATGGGGCAAAACTCAGGGTGTTGATCTGTGTCTAAATGCGTTGCAGAATTTAACTTGGAGCCAAAATGTTTAGAGTTCACTTTTTTGTTTTGCTGGTTTCTCCAAATATAGTTTAGTTTGTTTCCCGCCATCACTCTTACTTTCGACATCTTCTCCCAAGCGGTCGGGTGTGAATCCCGAGATCTTCTCCATCTTGCACTTTTTTTTGGCGAAGAAGCTAACTTACCCCCAACTCCCGTAGGGCACCCATCTCATCCCGAATACTACTCTAGGAGGGGTGATATTGGCCGGTAAATACACGAGGAATTTTAGCCAACCATGAAACCTACTCGATTCCCTTCCAGCCTTATTAATCTTGCACAGTACAGTACTGTACATGAGTCCTACATAGACTATGAGTGCATGTGATTCCTTAACCGCCCCAAAAATGTGAGCAACCGGGCAATATTCGGATAAATTCCTTGGTTCCCAGCCTAGTATTCACCTCGAACATCGCACTACAATCTCTACTATCGTGCGAGAAGGGACCCATCTTCCCGGTCCCGTCAAGACAGCACAAGATCGAGGTGTGTTGTGTCCAAAGTGAGACTTGGAGTTTCGGAGCTCAGGTGGGATGACCCACTCAGAGGGCAGGTTTGACCACTGCTCAAAGCGTACGAGTTAACAGCTGTACGGTACGAGCAAAGATCTCAGGCTATGTATTACTGTTTTATTTGTCCCCTCTCTTTTTTTCCGTTTTTCCCACTTTGGGTATCTCCAGCACCACGGTCCAATCTTCAGACACCCCCTACTTGACTGATTCTCTGCGCTGGGGAACCTAGGGCCCTCTCAGGTGTGACAGAGAGTGGTACTATGCAGTACAGCATTTACATATGAGCAGGTGGCCGAATCCACCTGCGCCCATCCCTACCAAACCGGGGGAAGGAGCCCTGGGGGAGAGAGCTTCTTGCCAACCACTCCTGGAACAGCCTACCCCACAGCGCCCGCAAAATCTGATGGATAGATTGGCAAGTCGGAGAAGCCGTCGGAACAGATGGTGCCGTGAAAGAGGTGTCAGACGATCGATTAATTAAATCGGGTTTTTTCCCCTCCGGCCTCCGCGTGGCCGAATAACTTGGCTGTGCTTGGGATGAGGAATTATGGGAGATCAGGCAATATCGGCAACGAACAGACCCTCCTCTTCCTCCTCTACAGCAGTCAGTCGAGGTATGATGATAGAGAGCAAGAATTCCCATCCGGACGATTACTGCAGGGTCCCCCCAGAAATAATCTATTTACGGTAGGCATGCCACACGTGTCGTCGAACTCGATTCAAAAGATTATGGAAGCTCACCACTAAGCCAGTCTTTCCAATCATAGGTAAGCATCCAATCACAGACAGCCCCTCGAAGCCAAGAAAATGGCCGGCAATATGATAGCTAAAACTAACCATTCACAACTTTACAGCGAATAAACCAGAAAGCGCTCGCGTAGCACTCTAACATAGGGCAATCACTCCTTGATACGAGTACTGTATAGTACAAGCACAGCTTCTCCCCACTTCCGCGTCAAATAGAAAAACAAAATAAAAAATCAATCAATCAATCAATCACTGCCTAAGGCTGAAAGACGCACTCTCGTCTGACTGGTGCGCAACCTTATTTGTCGCCAATACCTTCTAAAAACTTTAAAAAACTTCTTTCCACTAATATCCACCATCCGAACCAGCGGGCCCCGTCAAACCAGTGTGGTGAAGAAAGAAGATTCTAATTATACGCCTTCAGCCACTCTGGTGAGAATCGGAGAACCCATCTTACTTCCTTGTGGTACTACCGCTGTCGAGCATCATTTTGTGAATGTCGTGAGGGTCCATTGTCACTCTCTGATCACAGCGGTTAGCCGCCCCGGGGGCGGAGCAACCCATACCACTACCATTCGGGGGAAACGCCTCGCGACCGTTGCAACAGTTCCACCAACAACAAATAGGGTAAGTGTGGGGTTAATAAATGGTATCCACAGTCCGCCACTCTTATGGGGAGTTTGAGGCTCAACGTTGTCGGGTTAGATTAGAGGGTTGGTCAAGGCGAGCGAGTCTCCATGACTCCACACCTCCGGTTTCCTGGAATGGATGCCGAGTCAAATATTTAGGGCTATCAGAGATTGTGGATCAGTTTTGAGCTTAGCGTGACAGTCGTGTTTGCGTTTGAGGGTGCTTTTCCTTTTGGTAAATTATCATGGTTGGTCGGGCGCGATTCCCACGGGCTTGAGATTTCGAAAAACGCCATCGCAATACGAGTGCTTGTATTATCCTCGAAAGATGGTTCGTCAACACGCCGGTATATCACCCCCAGAGGTTTTTTGATGGCGCGCTACCAGTGAGCATGTTGTTCCGTCCAACTCACCATATCCACGAGAAATAGACAACCTCCAGCGAATGCCATGGATGGACAACGAACACCCACCAAAACCCAAAACCTTCCATCCAAACATTCGACAACAAGGCATTCACCCGCAAGCCAATAATGCCACTTTCCTCCCGCACGCACCCGGGGGCCCAATACAAAACCCGACCAGGGTTAGGGCTACCAGTTGGCACCACCGCCTGAGGTTCTGAGGATCTAGATCTCGGTAATCTACTTTCCTAAAAAAAGATCGGCCTTAACGAAACTATCTGTACTGTACTGTACTGTACAGTACAAGAGCGCATCGGACAATTTACACATTGTATGGGATGAATATCGCCGGACAACGGAAAGCCACTCTAGAGCGCGAGAAGATCTTCAGTTGATTAGAGAGCAAATCCGAGCTCCTTCCTTCTCTGCACCGAATGAGCCATTCGCGGTCGAATTGATAGCCGTCGCGAGTTATTACTTGCCGACTTCACAGGTTTCCGGAGGGAAGCCGGACTGCACCGTTATTAGTAGTGTACCACGATTTCCACCGATGGAATATCCAGGCGACTGGAATTTCGCGCTGTGACCCCGGGATGACTTGCTGGAAGATTCTGCGATACAGTAAAGCGGAGAATTTCGGGTGTCCATTACGGTATTTGGGTGAGGGTGAGTCTCTGGAGGCTAGTTGGCTGTCAGCGCTCGCTCAGGGACGTAACTTTATCCGATCCAGGTCAATCAATCAATGGTCGTCAGCGAACTCGACCAAGGTTATGCTACACCATGTTTGCTGTCACCGACTCCTCTCCTATTTGCTTATGCTGGGGAACCGCTGTTTGTCTAAAAAGTCTAATAATCCTGAACCTTGTTCTACTTAATTAGAATGATAAGGGTCCGGGAAGGACGACCCCTCCTCCTCCATCCACCCTGACAGAAAATCCCGGACGGAGGCCCGTTTCAAGTCCAGTCATACCGGGAAAGTGAGAATATTGGAATGGGCCCGAGCGTCAAAATGAAACGATGCTAGCGGGGAAGATGGTCGTCTTCGGGATTCTTTTTTGCTCTCTCCTCCTCCTCCTTGTCTCTGATTGTTGAACGGTCGAAATGAAGGAGAACACGTTTGCAGTTGTGGGGTGAGTACGAGTAGATGGTGAAGGAGCAAACCGTCTCGATGAGAGCGCCTGTCGCGTTGTCGGATGGATGAGGAGATAAAGTGGTGCTACTAGCACTAAATAGGAAGGATTCGAGAATTGCCACGTTGGACACGTGAAGAGGTAGACGTGGCTTTTGAGAGGTTTATCCTTTTGCCGCCACCGGGAGCGAGGGAATTTTCTAGCGGGGCATTCTGGAAGGAAGGGAACATGGTCTGAGTGTTTCCGTGAGAATTCCAAGGGAGTTTTGGAGAGGAGAAGATGCTTGTTATAGCTCTCACAGTTACCATAAACCCGGTATGGTAGTAGGAAGAGGTGAGGAGCTTTTCACTTGACAAAGGAAGCCATTCGCTTTTAAAGCGCCTCACGATGCGCCCAGAAGAGGCGCAATCCGCGCCACGGGCCAATCCCGAACGTCATCCAGCAGCTGAATCATGACTCGAAAGAACCCGGGTGCTCCACATCCATCAATCCTCTTGGCCTTGTCCCACCCACTCACTCATTCCAGCAACAAAAGAAGAACCCACCCACACGGACACGGACACGGGCGGACACACATTACATTACCGTCCTGAGGATGTTCCGCACCCCTCCACCGTGCACACACCTCCCCCTCCCCTGCGATCCACACCACCCCTCCACTAACCATTTTTAAACCAAACGGGCAGGGTAGGGGTGAATGGTGGTGGATGGTGGCAATTACTATACAGTACTCACCCCTGATTGCGGATACTTAAACTAGAGTTCCCCCCCCCCCTCCTCATCGCCCATCATCATCATCATCATCATCATCATCATCATCACAACGCAAAACAAGTCAAGATAAAAATAAAGGAGAAGACACCGCTGCTAATCTACCGCTCTACCCTTAAACCACAAAGCGAAAAGGGGAATAAGAAAACAAACAACATTCGAGCACAGACTAAATACGAGGAAACCCACCGCTCCTTCTCTCCTCACACAAATCAGTTGACTTGACGCGATGTTCGAAAACTTCTCTTTCACAAAATCACCTCCGCCGCCCTTCTACCACCGACCCACGACCCCCCCGCTGAGCCCCTATGACTCTCCACCGCCAAAATCCCTCTCGGCACACCTGACCCTCTTATCCATAACCCCACCACCACCACAAGCCCTCATCCCGTCCCCACCACACAGTGCAGTCTCCTCGCCGACGACTCCAAGCGCGGACGCGCAGCCATGCGTGCGCTTCCAGCGACAAATCCTAGCACGATTACAGACGACGGACGCGCAGATGCGCTGCCTGGAGAGACTGGTCAGCGACGTCGTATCCCGGGGCGGGAGCTTCGGAGGCTTGGGTGATGGGGCGGATAGCTCAAAAGTTGGGAGGGGCGGGCGGAGGATGTCCTTGCCTAACTCCGCGGGGGCGCTTGTTGCGAAGAAGTGCGGGAAGGGGAGTATTAGCGAGAAGTGCTCTGGCGGAGGTACCGGAGTGGGGAAGAGGAAGGGTGTTGTGGGTGGGGTTGGGAAGAAGAGGACCAGGAAGAACTTTAGGGGGGGGAGTGTGGGGGAGTCGGAGTAGTTCTCTCTCTCTCTTTCCTTCTCTCGTCTTGATCGGTCGGTCGATATCCGAGCATTGACATGATAAATATGCGGGCGCATCTTCTTCTTTACGTTGCATTACCTGCAATACATTCTTCTGATCTTTTCCCTTTCATATTCTTACCAACTACTAGCACCGCAACTACACTCTCGGAGCGGGGTTTCTTATTCTTGTTATTTTTATTTTTATTTTTATTTTTTTCCACCCTTCACTCTATATTTATTCCCGTTTATCATACCATATACATTGCGGGTGGCTGGGGCGGAGGGAGCTTACTTAAGGCGTTTTGCTTTTTTCTTTTCACTCATCTTCGCTTGGGTTTTGCTTTTGCTATTGCTTTTAAGGCAGGGAGTTTTTTTAGAGGGTTGGATGGGGTGGGAGTCATTTTTGCTCATTTTTTTTTTCTTTTTCATTTTTTCATTTTCTCCTTTTGTCATCTCTCGGGAATAAAAATTAAGTTGAAGAGTTCTGCAAAGTGAAAATATACCTTTATTGAATCATCATGCTATACCGCGAACTTACTTTTTCCCATCTTCCTCTATACATGTAAAATATTATCAAACATCATACCGCTGCCAATAAAGACAAACTCAAGTCCAAAGAAAAAAGTGAGAGCCCCTTTCCTATTCCCCCGTTTCCCTAGGACCATCCATCATCATCATCATCATCCATCCACCTATCCATCCACTCGTCGCTCCCAACCAAAAAAAGAGAAGAAAAGAGAAGAAAGAAAAGGCAGGGCCAGTCGACCCCAAACCCACGATGACAGAGGGTTTTCTTCCAGAAAAAAAACCTCCTCCCCCCTCGGAAGGTCCGGCAGGGCCACCGATCCGAAGGGAGAAAAGGGGGAAAAATAGCTGGATCCCTCAAAGCTAGTCCGACGATCCTTCGTTGTGGGGTACGATATGATGATAATTATGATAACTCGCACTCACGGTAGGGCAAGTATGGTGTATGAGGGGCAAAACGGGCAGTTGTATGATAGGATAATGAACTACCGTGGGACTATGATAACTATGATTTATCGGTAAAAACTGTAAAACTCACCTCCCACACCCCCCCCCCTGTTGTTCTCCACCACCGACCGATATTGTACTATAATATTATGTACCGAATATCTTTGTTGCATAAGCCGCAGCCTCAAAAATCTGAAATGAGCGACGGTAGTTTTTCGTCGCGAAAAGGGCACACTTTGTAGATCTTGCTCGTTTATCGAGTTAGACTTCCTGATATGGGCTTTGTGTCACGTTGCGGACCATAAAGTGGATGCAGGTGGAGGTTATCTTGAGGAGTGAATGGCTTGCATAGTCTTTTTTTTTTCTTTTCTCCATCTACTCGAGTAACGGTACTGTATTACTCGAGTACCGTACTGTACACTTCTTCATCGCAAGGATGGGCTATTATGTTATGTCCGATTGAATTGTGCGTTTTTTTTTTTTTTTTTTTTCACTTCCGCCTACTGATAGTACTCTTACTCCTGTTCAACTCGGGTACGGCATTTGATGAGTTGGATTGGAATAGAATGAATTGTAAACAGGACAAATTGATCCACCATGTGAATAACATCATAATTATCATAACATTTGCCGGCGGGGGAAGACGAGGTTAAACGTGGAATTCCTCAGGGTTAGACTATCTGTAGTCTGGTCTGCACACCGTGGTCGGTGCCCTGCCTTTTTTTCTTTCTTTTTTTTCTTTTTTTCTTTTTTTCCTTTGCTCCCTTCATCGCACTTCCACCATCGAGGCTACTCGTAGACTATCGGCGACGAGAGGGCGAGTGGCGAGTATGACGCGCCTTGTGGTTTCATTTATTTATTCGCCGGTAGCGGAGAGCGCGGCGGGGTGTTCCCGTTTTTGCAAAAATACGGTTGGCCGTTCCGACGATTACCTACGCGTCCGATCGGCAAGGACGAAGGGTCGGGGCGGGGCGGGGCGGGCGGGGATGCTAAGATGTGATGTGATTAACCCACGAAATTCACATTGATCGCTGCGATGTTCGCCGGTGGTGGAAATTGAGCGTCTATCGTAATTAAAATGCTACAATCGCAGATCGCGGAGATGGTATAAGAATGCTTGGAATTCCGCGAGGGCATGCCGGCGCGCGTGGTGGCGGTGGAACTCTATTGTGGGTCTACCCCACTTCCCCAGTGCATAGATTCCCGGGAACACTCCGGGCATGGCAGGGCGTCGCGCTCCGCCTACACGACCAACCGATGCTGCAGCACGATAGGGTGTGGTATCAGGCTCTAGCCTGAGGTTATCTAAAGACTTTCGATAAGGTGTGGATTGGCGGTGCAAGACAGGGATTTCGGGCGTCAGATTGCCGACTAAGGCTAACAGCGGAGAACCTTACTTACTTCACTTTGGTCACAATGCACTTCATCTTACTTACAAGGCTCGCCTGAAGACCACCCTTTGCTCGCCTGCCGCCTTGCCCTGGGCTAGGTGAGATTATTCCCAACTCCCAAAGTCCCGCGCATTCATCTCGAGCCTCGAAATTGGAACTCCTCCGAACCGGACTGAGATACTCGATCCGGTTCCGGTTCCTCTCCAACATGGGCAACCACTCCCGGCAAACAACCTTTCCTGTTCATTCATAAATGGTCACTCGCCGCCTCCTCCCAGCCCGGTTAGCGCCTCACCCCGCGGCTATTATTCACCTCTGGGACTGTACGCTAGGCTAGGAAGAGGGGCAGAATGAGCATCTAGAGGGAACATGCATTGCGTTCCGCAATACGGATGGAGATCTACTGATTCAGATGAGGTGAGCAGTTCGGTTCGGTGAGATGAGGTCTGCCGTCAGGCTGGAGCGGGGATCGTCAGGTGGGGCTGGCTTGCCTATGCAGGGTTGGGGCGCTTGGGGGTATTGCGCATTTCCAATGCAGGGGATGGGGGTGGGGTGGATTAGCAGGGTTGAAGAGAGATGAGGTGGGGAAAAGCATCTGGTCAGGCATCCAATGACTATCCGATCGTGATACGATAGGGATAGGTAAGGGGGGTAGAGGAAGGAAAGGTGGAAGGGAGTCGGCGGTTAGCACCGCTACTTTAGTGGGAAATACTGAAATTGTGTAGTGCAGAATCAAGGGTCACGATGCTCGCCACCCAATCGAGTCGTTACGCTTACACCGCAGCCCTTGTCTTGCAACGCGTCACCGCTGCTAAGGATATATATCGCGCACACCCTGCCGAGGCACATCCTGAATCATGCAAACTTCGAGCCACACTCAGCGCACCTTACCCAAACGTTCACAAACCCGCCCTCACAGTCATGACCAGCTGTTCAAATACACACAACCTCACTCGTGTCCACATCCAACCGCACTCCTAATAACAATTTCCCACTTCAACCCACTAAACACTCCTATACTTCTGAGCTCCCCGAACTCAATGAATCAACCCTCCAAGGCTCACTAGTGCCGACCCTCCATTCACCTCATCTCACCGACTGACTAACAGACATTGCTCAAACTTGGCCAAGACACAATGAGCCCAACCCTCTAACCTTGCGGAACTCAGCGCTGAAAACTGACAGTATACTCCCACACCCCATCCTCCCTCGTACTGCCGTAGTCCGTAACACCTCTAGTGATGGAGTAATCCCATCGTGGGATGATATAAGTATTAGGTTGGGGCACAGCGGGTCGGATGCCCCAGGAGAACTGTTTTAGGTAACACAGTGGTGGACTTGGCCACCAGAACTTGTATTTAACAGTGCTGGGATCCTCCCTTTCTCTCTGAGTTTTTCTGGAGTATGTACATCGAATTGAACAATCCCCCCCACACACAGTTCCCTTAGAACGCGAGATCGACGTGTGCGCCACCATTGTGCTTCTTCCACTACCGAATTTCCCTGCGCACAATCAGTCTTCCGTTTGACTGTTGCTATCGTCTAGAGCATTGAAAACACCGAAGCACCGCCCAACACATGACATCAGAACCCATGAAGCCTTGTAGCAACTTTCCATCTTTTACTATGATTTCCTACAGGATTATTCTAGTCCGGTAACAGCCTATGCGAAACCTACGCAGTTTCCCCCCTAAACCTGGGATTTTTGGGTAAGAAAGCTTTTATGTGGTATGTTCTTCTGGAAGGCTCGGTGCGTTAAGCTTGACATGTCGAAGCTTTTGGCGCACAGAGTATAGTTTGTGACTCGAGTTCTGTCAAGCCGCCGTTGGGTGACGATGCGCCCAGCCTGTACTACGCTCAGAATGTAGGTTGTTTTCCTCTTCGTGTGGGTCGGCCGGATGTGGAATGTTGGAGGTAGAGGTGGGGGTCCACCCGGTGAAAAACAGAGTGCCATCGAGATGGGTAGGAGGGAATCCACGCCGTGAATTCAGATTCAATACTTGTCGGCTGAACCGGGATGTGTCTTTATTTTTAAATCGAGATGAAGGTGTGAATAGTATTTGAATTAGATATCACTGAAACCTTTGAAAACCGTTTCCCCCGGGGGAGCACCGTAGAGGCTGAGTTCGGTAGCGGGTATTTGGATGCAATGCACCGCTCGCGGTCGGGGGCGGTGGGTATGTGAGTTGTGGGGAGGGGAAAGGTAAAGCTATAGAGTAATATCATCTTTCCACCGACTTCCATCACCCCGAACCCGATATCTATTCTTGCATTTGGAGGTTCAGACGCAATGACATGGTAAAAACGAAAATGTGGCTTCATACTCGGGATTCGAGTCGGATATTCCCGTGAGATATTGTAAGAAATCCCACTGATGCATTGTGCACTCACTCGTCAAGTTACTCTCATCTCCCCCCCTCATATCATACCCCGTTGGAAATATCATAGCAAGCGGATCTAGGTTCAACTCTAGTAGCTAAACTCCTTGAGGATACCTTGGCTTTCCGAGCAGTATCATAGTTCTTATATGATAGCACCTGTGCTTTTTGAATTACTTACTGCTCGAGTTGTAGAGAGCATCCCATCTACTTCATCCCTAACTGACTCATCTGACTCGACTTTCATGATCGAAATGTCAGGCAATTCCCCTCAGAGGGTATACCCAACCGCTCACCTCTCCAAGCTCCTCTCACATGAGTTCTGCATATGTCTGTAAAAGCACCTGCCAATCTCCCCTTGCAAAACCACATTCAAGTGAGCCAGACCTCTTTCTCTCATGAAGGCGCAGCAACCGGGACGCCTAATCCCCTCTCAAAATCCCCGGTGGCCGGTTCGATATATGCAGAGCAGCGGGAGCATTCACACCAATCTCGAATTTTAATTCACATCGGGGGAGGACGGGAAATGGAAAAATCCCCGATGAGATTTATCGGATGGCCCCTGGCAGGGTCTGGCTCCGGAAGCTCCATTGTGGTTTTGGGGGGTATTCACGCTGGCTTCGCGGGCTGCACGGACTGCGGTTTCTCTCAACTGCGTCCCCGGGAGGAAGGTGGGTTCTACTTGCAGCGTGTCTACTCTCTTTTGAAATGTTCCCGCGTACCGTAGGTGGATGTGTTCATGAAGTATCACTCGTTGTTTGGATTCGGGATTTGGAAGAGATGCGTCCGTGGGATGGATCCGAGTGATAGTAGATGTAACGGGTGCGGATCTTGATGTAGCAGGAAATTGAATGCGCCCGTCACAGCGGTATCTCTACACCCCAGGACGGTGGCCAGATAAGGGACAGCGGGCGGCAATAAGCATGGAGGATTCGTCTACCTACCCGAGGGGGATATCAGGCTATGCTCCTTTAAATTCGCATGCCCAGCGCAGCTAGTGGTTATACTTGTCTGTCTTTCGCCCCCTGTTGGCAACGCCCTGCCTTAAAAATTTCCGAGAGCTAGAAGCTAGCCAGACGGCACTATACCATATTTCCAAAGCGATACGAGCCTAATCGACCAACTGTGTGGGAACAAGGTCTCGGGCAAGAAAGTGTGGTTGTGTTCGGCCATAGAACGATGAAAATTTCGCATCCCGTCCGCTCTGCTGTAAACAAGCATCGTATCGACCAGTTAGTACTACAGTGGGTGACCATGTGGGAATCCCGGTTGCTGAACTCTTCTTTTTCGCTTGCATTCTTGTTTTGGGTATGTATCAGGATGGAGGGGGTGGAAGTAGACTATAGTAGTATGATATCATAGTGTTTTTTTGCTGGGAGGGCTTGGGGGGTTCGAATCGTGGCGCGGTAAGTTAGTTGGGTATGACTAACTCTGACCCTTGATTCTTCTGTGACTTGATAAGAATAGGCTTATGGCATCAGTAGAAAGACTTCACCTTGGGAGAGAGGGGATAGTGAAATAGGTAGGATCACAGATTATCGTTCGATCCGAAGCTTGGGTTCTTATTCATTAGTAATGGTATTTTAGGACACTACTGGAGACATAGATGATGGATAAACTTCCGGCAATGTATGCCGCGAAGCGGAGTCGGGGCGAGCGGGGAGCGGGAATACTGTGCCAACATCCTCATCCAGAGTACACAAGATGGGCCAGCCATAGCAAATGAAGGTGGGCGAGACTAAGTACGGGTGCGGTAGAACGGGGGATCAGGGTAAGATAAATTTTCCAAAGGCATTCACAGAAATCACCAAGTCCCGTGAAGTGATGTCCGGCAATTCTGAGAGAGACGACGCTTGGACCATCTGCGGTTCAGCTTTTGCCTTAAGGACCCCGAGCATTTGGGTGCGTGGGTGATAATCGTCAAATTGTTTCTAAGAATCCCGCGAAACCTCTATGGAGACGAGGATTGTGTATTCTGATTTTCCGTTCAGCGCAGCGGTATATCGCTCGTCGGGTGAGAAAGCGTGCTGGCCGAAAGAACACCATCCTCCGGGCATTCGCAGCGACATCTTGTTAGCCATGTACAAGTCAGCACTTACTCCTTACCCCTAGCGAGTTGAAGAACCCGGACACCTGATGAAGATGCAGGTGAACACCAACCAAAAATGGGACACTGAGCCTGGAGCTCACCGCATCTCAAAAGCCTCAGGTAGGCATTTGAGAAGGATCATATGTTCTTGGGAAATTGAGGCAGCGCAGACTCATCTGCACTCTCATGGTTTTGGACTGATTCGCTCGCTTTCGAGGATATCTTTGATTCCCCGGCGGTTTGGAAGCGTGCGGGGTACGAATCTCACCGGGCGCATGTCTGCTGTTTCTGAGCAGTGTTGTGGGTGCGTAAAAGTGGCTATGTTTCTTTTGTTCCTTTGCAGTACCCCCAGTCGCATGTCCGGGGTTTATCTACTTCTAGTTGGGCTCCTGCGAGGTCAGTAGAGATTGCTACTCCGCTGAGTGTTCGTGGGGATGACCATCCTGGAAAGGTATATATTTATATAAGGGATGTTTGGTCCCGCTCCTTTTCCGTCGTCAGATGATGATTGGGAAAAGACATAGAATACGGAAAGCAGCTAAAGCGTCGAGCTGCTCTCAAGGCGACGAAGAACACTTTCGAGAAGAATACTGCGACATTTGGTTGGTCTATTTTCGATTACCTTTCCTCTTGCGCACTTGCGAAGCCGCCTTTGATAGAGTATAGAAAAACTTAACTGCATTGATCGGTCTATTTTCGACCACCCTTCCTCTTGCGCACTTGCGAAGCCGTTTTCGACAAAGTACAGAAAAACCTAACTAATGTCTCCATATACTTGAGTAATCCGTGAGCAAATGCCATCCTCCCTGCCCAACTCCTGACCTTCAGAGACTTTGAGATATTCTCCCTTGGCACATGCATATTTCTTCATACCAAGCGCGATATCATACCTACATTTCAGTCTGCGTTGACAACATGATCACAACACACTTTACTGGCTCACCCCAAACCGACGTTTTTACGAAAAATCTGAAATGGCATTCAATATTCCTCCTGGCTTTGGAGAAGCTTGTTTTCAACTCAACTTACACATCACACATATACCAGACGAGTTACATCTTACCCAACAGGGACATAAATTTACTAGCACCATCCCCAAACAATATATTACCATAGAGAATTCACGATCTGTTTCGACACCCCTAACAAAAGGGATATAAAAGATCCTGATTGGATACCTATATTTATTCCATATCAGAATCAAAAGGTAAGCACCTTTTCATTATGAACCACCCCTTCCTCCAAGCTCTCATCTTCAAGTCCTAGTAAGTTACTGGGTTCTTCGTAGTTGAATTTTAGTGTTGCGATCACCTTCTATACTGCTGGACAGCTAGACATATTATACTGCGCGTATTTACAGTCTGCTTACGCGTGCCCGGGGAGGTATTTTCGAGAAAATTAAGGATTATTTTGCAGCTTGACTATGTATCATACCTATGAATTTGGAGCGTCACTGACCATGTAGTTGTTGGTCACTGGAGAAAGAGAGAAAGAAGCTTGATTACACACTGCCGGCACATGAGTAGGTTTAAATCTCTGAGCCGAGAAAAGGCAGAAACACGAATGAGAGAAACCCCCGAAAGAAAAGCCGAAGTTGGCATCATGTGAAACCCCTCGGAAAGAAAGAAGACAAGTGAGGGGCGAAGTGCGACAAGTGATAGGACAAGGGGAATATCACATTTGAAAAGGATATGGCTATAAAGCTATGACCTCGATGAAGAAAAGATGAGAAAATTCAAGGGTACTCGTAGTCTAACGACGACTGGAGAAGTGAACGAAAGACTGGTGGAGAAACCAAGTGTGAAACGAGACTACTAGTTGGGAAACAAATGGCAAAACACCGTATGATACATCTGATAAACACTAAATCCAACAGATCGTCCGAGTGATAGGGTATGGCGCGACCAAAAAATCTTCGGAAACCCTAACCTTTCTTTTTTTTTCCGACACTGATACTCAGCGGTTGCCAACACGTGATTTACCCCACCAAGTTCCCATCCCGCCCACCATATCATGCTCACCACCGCAACCTCCCAGAACCCCACAGATCCAAATCAATTCGCCTCGATTCCCCAATTCCAACGAGCGGCACAATAAAATGAAGGCACCCTTCCCGACAAACCCCCTCAACAGTATCTTCCTCCAGCTGATCCCGCCCCCGCGAAACATCGCCGAATCCCAACGGGTCTACAAAGCGCTAGAAAAGTTCGGAAAAATAGACATGTTCCGGATAGTCCGAGTATTTCCCCTCCGCCCTCTTTCTACCGCTTCCGGGGCTTATGCAACTTGTTAGCACGACCAAACCACCAAGATGCCCGCACCCCGTGCACACGTGATCTTTTCGTCCACGAACGCTGGCTCCTCACTGCTGTCCGCATCACCGCTTGAGATTCCCGACACCAGGATCACAGTTCGAGCGTCAGAGAGCAGGTTCCCGCATATGGCGTACATAAGGACCGAGAGTCACATCCACGCGGTACGCTCCTCCAACCTGCTAAATAGAAGGGCATTAGTTATGGGTGCGGCTGAAGCGGAGAAAGAGAGCGGAAGGTTACAGGAGGATACCGGAGGTTCGTTCGGGGGTGTCGAGGGAGGGGCAGATATCATCTTGAGGCTGAAAAGGAGGTTTACGGGAGGGTTTAACGGGTTTGATTCAGTTGAGAAGGGGATGGCGGAGAGAAAGAGGAAGGCCGGGGCTGTGCGAGAAGAGGGGGTCGCTGAAGAGGGGAAAGTGCGGGAGATGCAGAGCGAAGGAGATGGTGGTATCGGAAAGCCTTGATTTTGATCTCATGGCGTGGCAGATCGACGGCCACATGGGGTTTTAGGGGTACCGCCGTAATTTGACCACGAGATCTGCTTCCTACTCGGTTCAGACGGCACTCGCAACCATGGTTGTCACCACCATGACTACTAATAAAACTCCAATCATGATTAGAATACCGGTAGTATGTGTATTTTCGTCTACACCGGGTAGGAAAAGTTGGCCAGGCACGGTACTTGATACAAACACCCTACTCCTGCTCTATAACAACTTCACAATTCCAAGTGTCGCGCCGAATTATCCAGCGTAATTCTCGTGAAAAGTTCTGCTATCATTACCGTGCTGAGACTCAAAGTTTGGGGGAGGGACGTGAGCTCAGCTAGCACTTGGGCAATCCATTACCCGATCACCATTCAAGGGTGCAAACAAGGGCCCTAACGGGTCGAGTAGAATATGCGAAGGGCCCATTCTGAGGGCGTAGAGGTTCGGAATCGCATTTTATTGATAGTTTCAAATATTGATTTGGGGACATCAATTTGGCCCCTTTCGTCGCTATTCAAAATCCCATACAAATTGGGGTGTTTGGCCTGCCCATAATTCGGTTTCAAATCGCGATTAGCAAATCATGATTTGGAGTCGGCCAATCACAACGCACAAAGAGAATTATGTCAGTAGATTTGCGTGTCGTGATTGGTCAGTTCTAAATCGTGATTTACAAATTGCGCTTGAAATCGAATCTCATGCGGTGCCGAACACCCCCTTAGTGGTCTTGGCGTGGATTTTAACCCCCCCTTTATATGTACTTTCTGTCCCTCGGAACAATTCCTGTGGCCTGACATTTAAAGCTGGAATTTTTCTCATTCTCATTCTTTGTTGCCGGAGAGGTGCCTAGACTATTGGTTTTACATGGAAAACTAACCCGTACTGGTACTGTACAGCAGGGAGTAACAGAGGACCCACTGCAACCGGTAATCCTGCCTAACCCAAACCCGTTACACGCTTATACTCACAAGTTCTTTATCCAGAGCCAAGCTTCAAGCCTCCAACCTTCAAACCTTCCCTAAAACAAGCAAAACTAGAAACGATCTTTCCTTGAGAGTCGTACCATAAACAATTGAAAAACTTTGCGTCACGGAAAGCATTGCCGGATGCACTAGCAGATGATTGGACCAATTACCCCCCCCCAAGTGGCTTGGCACGTGCCACTGTGGCTACTCAATTAAATTGTCACAAGCAAATGAGGATTTCCTGATTTCCGCAAAGCCTGAATGCTTAAGTGTGATTGAACGTGCGTCTTTTCTCCCTTTCTATGATACTGGTAATTGTGAGCCAGGCTGGATGTGGTAGCACTGGGTGCGTGGGTATGATGTAAACCGTTTTACTCGTACCATACGCGTCTGGGCTAACCTAGCTATCGTCGAGGGGAGTGATATAAGAAACGGGGGAGGGAAGAGGGGACTTTGCGCATTGGCATCGTGGGAGACATACAGACATACAGTACCGCTGCGAGGACCGCTACACCTGCTCACCACCAGCCCTACTAATACATCGTTGCTTGTATCTATCGCATCCAACCAACCAGGAATAACTTGCTCAACCCTTTACCTTTTCAAACCCTTCAAAGAAAAGAAAAGGAAAAAAGAAAAGCAGCAATGGCAAAAGGTATGAAGGCTTGCACCTGGATAATGCGCCTCTTCCAACTCTTCTTCGCCATAATCCTCGTAGGGGTCCTCTCCTACATGATCCACCAATTCCACCGCTACGGCCTGCCCGTCCCACGGGAACTCATAGTTCCCGAAGTCTTTGTGTGTCCCCGTTCCCCCTCCTCCCCATCCTCCTCCTCCATCCAATCCTAACCCAAACCCCCAGTCAGTCCTAGCCATAGTGGTAACCGGTTTCTCAATCCTCTCCGTCTTCTTCCTCAGCTACACTCTGCAACTCGTAGCCGCCCTCTTTGACCTCACTATGTTCGCCGGATACCTTGCCAGCGCTATCCTGCTAAGGCACAACTACCGCATCTGGATATCCCCTCTCAGGACTATACTCTCCTATCCGCCAGGCCCTTTGGGCCCTCCCCACCACATTGCCAGGAACACCGGGCTCGTGAGGTTGCTGGTTGGGTTGACTGTTATTCAAACGTGAGTGATCTGCCTTGTATTTTTTTGTCCGGAGGAAGGAAGGAAGGAAGGACTGACGAATGGATGGGTGGTGGGTAGGGTTTTGTTCTTGAACACGACAATCTTGAGTCTTTTTATTGCCAAGGACACGGAGAAGAAGAAGGAATTGGAAGAGAAGAGGGGGCATGCTACCGCTTAAGGAGGGGTGATTTTAACTACGAGTGAATGGCGATGGGTATCGGATTGGATTTGGAAACTTGGAAACTTGGAATTTGGTTGTCCAAGTTGGCTGGTTGGTTGTCGATTTGCTGATACCGGTGGCGCAGTAACTATTCACGCAGTATTATTACTCAATGACATTGGTCTCCACTCACTATGCCCTAACCGAGTTCCGGTCATGAGATAGCCCCGACGCCCCGGTGCATGGTGTAGCGCTAAGAGAATGGCAAATCACGATCCCATCCCGAGACCGCGTCTGAGTTGTCCCGACCAATACCACAGCAGAAGCAGTACCGTATCGTACAGTAGAAATTAGACTGAAGACTGCGGGGCATCTTCCAAGACTAGATAGATGCCAACCCCATGCACGACGGGTATGTACGAGGCTGGCGTCAAAAATGATGAGCAGTGTACAGTACAGGTTTTCCACTGAAAACAGCCATATTCACCACCTTCGAACCAGTGATCCAGTGAAGAAATCCAAATCAAATCTTGATCTATATACAACACAATTCCCTAGATTTTACTTTCCAGCCCTTTAGAACCCTCCGTATGAGCTGGCTGAAGAATTATTGAGAGAGTTATGGTTGTTACATTGGTCTTGGCACAACTTCCAATGATCATGTATGGGAAATGACAAGGCTTGGCGCTATTTTCAACTTCAACTTTACAATATTGCATGCTAAAGTATCTCAGGAATTTTTTAATAATCTATGAGCACTTGTGGAGATATTTGAAAGGGTTTCTGGTTATCCTATGAAATTTTTTTTTTTTTACAGCTTCAGAATGTATCAAATTGAAAGCGTGAAGTGGCATGGTTTGGGTTGTTACATGCCGTTCTGCTCACCATTCCTGTCACCAGCCTCGTACCGTATATGCCGGTAGGCCAGAAAAGGCCTAAAGCTCCCCTTCTACCATATCTAGCTATGGTATGAGAATATAGATACAGTACTTGTACATATCTCCTTAATCTTACTGATGGCGGATAGCTGTCGAGGCACCGCATCCGGAACCCACGCCCTCTCAACCTCCGTTTGCAGAACAGGTTGCATTTTTCGAACCGATGCGAACACATGTCATGTGGAAAGCATGGCTCTCCTCCAATCCAACCTTGTCCCACTACAACAACAACGGTATTCACCACATCCTACAGACCCGTGATGGATCTCTCGGATTCCCACTTTTTCAAAATTTCCTCAGATTAAGGATTTTTTTCCCGACGCAGTGTTACTGTACTGTACAGTACTCGTGCAAATTGTGAGATTGATCAGCCTGTACCGCATCTGTTTGCATCTCGTCCCGTTAACACGTGCGACTAGAGTACAGTACAGCACAGTATAGTAACCGTACTTGTATAAGCGCCGCTCTACCGTATTTTCTTCTTTTTCTTCCTTTCTTTCTTCTTCTGAGGTCATCACAAGGCGGCGACAGGAACAATCCCGGATGGCCAAGAAAGTAAGCGATTAGACGAGGTTTTTTTCTCTCTTTCCTCGTCTTCGCTGGCGGTAACATTGAATGAATGGTCATCATCATTCCAGAGTCGATTTTTTCTACAGCCCATCTTACCGTGAGCATACCGTACCGTAACATACCGCCAGCAAGTATAACAGAGCACGGTACGAGTAGAAACTACGCCATGAGCAACCAACCCAAAGCAGGTTTCCTCCAAAACTTTCCCACATGTCCAGACCACCGGTAAGTTAAGTTAGTTTGCGGGGTAGACGAAGCGAGATTGTGCCACACTTAGTCAAAACCCCCCCCCACCTCCATAACATGTCGAAACCAGGCTGGTAGATGACAAAACGAACCGCGCGGTGAAACGGACAAAACATATATCATACCGGTAGTGTATACCACCAAGTCACGGAAATGGCAATGCGAATCGGTACGATACCGTGATGACGAGTCGCGATTCTTTTTTCGCTCCCCACACCCACCTGTCAAACAACGACGACAACAAAGAAGCTTCCTCCCCTCTCCCATTCCACCCATGTTGCTAAATAAAGTGAAACATGAGCACCGGGTATCACTCGGAATTCTGAAACTGCCCGGATGGGAAGAGAACAAGCGCCCGAGTGAGCGACGGTGAACAAGTCTACCGGTACGGGTTTTGTTCGCCAAGGTGTTTGTTTCGGCGATTTAGAGAAACTGGTGTTTCAAAGTGAATGTTCGAGGTCGTTCGGGGGGTTATAAGAGCTTTCCGTCTTCGTCGGGAAACTGGTTCTGCGATATGATTGATCAATTACATACAGTTCGATAATATATTTTCTTTTTAACATTTAGATATATATACACTTGCACAGCATTTCCTTTTGCTTCACTTATTCTTGTTTGCTTTACTTTGCTTTGCTCTACTCTGCTCACTTTCACAAAGATGCATACCCTCTCCACCCTCCTCCTCCTCCTCCTCCCCCTCGCCTCAGCGCATATGGACCTAAAGTACCCTGCGCCCCTTAACCACCCCAACAACCCCAACACGAACGCAGGCACAGCAGACTTCAGCTACAACTCCCCCATCAGCGCCGCGCAATACCCCTGCAAAGGCCACCACAAGCTCATCGGCACGCCGGCCGGAAAGTCCGTGGCGACTTGGGCGGCGGGATCGACGCAGAACTTCACACTCAGCGGCACGGCGGTGCACGGCGGCGGGAGCTGTCAGGCGTCCATCAGCGAGGACGGGGGGAAGACGTTCCGGGTCGTGAGGAGTTATGTGGGCGGGTGTCCGGCGGTTGGAAAGGCTTTCGAATTCGTGGTGCCGAAGGAGACGAAGAGTGGGGTTGCCCTTTTCGCTTGGTGGGTTTCTCTCTTCCCTGCGCAAAATTATTAATGTGACGTTTGCTAATTTGGTGCATGATAGGACTTGGTTCAATAACCTTGGCAATAGAGAAATGTACATGAACTGCGCGGCCGTTACCATATCCGATGGTGGGAGCAAAGGTCTCTCGGACCTCCCCGAGATATTCCAGGTGAATTTGGGGAGTGGGTGCGAGACGGTGCCAGGTAGTGATGTGCTGTTTCCCGCCCCTGGAAATGATGCTGTCATCGTCAACCCGGCGGCAACTGCGCCCGTAGGGGCATGTGGGTTGAATGCTCCCGCGGCAGGAGCCAACTCTCCGGCCTCTAACTCTCCGGCCTCTAACTCTCCGGCCTCTAACTCTCCGGCCTCATCTGCACCCTCCTCCTCCCCCCCCTCTGAGCCCTCCGCTGCGGCAACCACCCCACCCACCCCCGTCTCCTCTTTGTCGCCCACAACCTTTGTAACCCCCACCGGTTGCATGTGTATCTGCAGCGGCCCCAGCGGCTACGCACTCAACATCCTCCCGATCTCCGCTGTCGACAACATAGTGGAGAAGACGCCCGCTGTTTTCATCGTAGAACAACTTCTTACCGCTACTGACTATGACGCCTCTCCCTATTTCCCTTCGCCCACTCGTTCTTCGGTGTCGACTGCCGGTACTTTGGTTTCGGCTGCTTCGGTTAAGAGTGAATCTCCTACCCCTACAAAATCGTCCTCGGCGGGGAGTAAACCAAAGGACACCACAACTTTTGTCAGGATTTCCAGTAGTGGAGGAATGAGTGTTACGAAGACGTCATTGTCTGTTGGTAAAGAGCCGACGGGGACGACGGGTAGGTTCCGGAGGCGGTAGATACCGCACTGTACGAGCACGATAAACCTTGTATTATAGAGTTACCATGGTACTTTAGACTGCATTTTTGTTTCTCTTAGAATTTTTTCTTTCTTCGCTTATGGGAGGAAAGAGGTCTCGAACGGCTGGTGGTTACTGTCATTTCCGTCTCCTTTCTTATTTCCGATGCACTGACTTCATTCATTCATTCATTCACTATTTACACATCCCAGTCGCTCCTTCCTCCTCCCCTTTCCTCCGTTCCTTCCTTACGACTTAACGTTCACTTATTATATACTACGGTATCCACACTCCCTACCCAACACTCATTCATCTCATTTCGGTATTACTCGCACACAACACACTACGGTAGTACTAGTATGTACTCGTACTTGTAGACCGTCCACTCATTTTGCCCCTCCTTTTCTTCTTTTCTTCTTTTCCTTCCTTCTTTTCGTCCCTCGGGACCCCCCTTTCTACCAGTACTCGTACAACCCGATATCCCCCCCCCCACCATGGAACAACCACACTCCTTTTCAAGCACTATCTATTTATACTCACTTTTAATTACTTGTATGATACAATATTTACTTTCACGATAAATCTCTCTCTTGTTGCAAAACTATATTATCACTGTGATTATCATCATATTTTCCTTTTTTGATCGTTGTGATTGTTGTGATTATAATTCACCACTCGTGACTACCGTATTGAGCTGGAGCTGGAGCTGGAGCGGAGTGGAGTGGAGTGGAGTGGATCACATCACGCTCATGGGCTTGTGAATGGTGATTACGGATTGCTTATTGAGCCATCTCACGCCATTTGTAGGCGCACTTTTAGGAGAGCGGCAGACGGGAATTTTTAGACTAGATGCTGTGCTCGAGCACTTTGCCAGTACTCGTACCGTACTCTACCTCCGCCCAGGATCTGTAGAGTGCGTGGTGAGGAGCGTACTGTACTGTACTTGTACAACAATACCGGTATGATACATGAAGTACAGTGCTGTATTGTACCTAGCACAGCAGAAAAGGCGGGCGAAACTACGTGCTCTGCTCACCGTCAAGGTCACGATGGGGTGAGAAGTGGAATAATTGAATCTCACTCTAGCAACGTTGGAGTCGTTGGCTCTCCTAGCAAGGTTTGTATGATTTTTTTTTTTTTACCCTCTCATTTGCATGAGCGGAGGAGGGTTGTAGGTCGGTTTTCCTCTCTATCATAGGGGAGGGGGTTATCCCGCTTTATCCGAAGCGGGGAATTCCCATGAGGTTCTACTCCTCCAGTTCCTACAATTATACCAGCATACAAAACCCCCCCGAGCACACCGCACCCATAACACTTTTTAAAACAAAAACACAATTCCGGAAACACTCGAGCACCATAAAATCTCGAGGGATCCATCATCTCCCCAACCCCGTAATCCTCGAGCTTGGAAAAAGAAGAAAAAAACTCCCTAGAAGGATTCGCACTTCCACGACACAGCACGGGGGGGGGGAGATAGAGCATGAGATCAGCAGCCCTCGGACATGCCAGATCTCATAAACAGATACCGGTATTCGCAATTCCGATAATCAGCAGTCAGTCAGACTAAACCTATCCTGGGACGACGGACGGGCAGATTCCCGCTGATGATCTGATGCAGCTAACGAGATCTCACGGTACGGCACCGCACCGCGACCGCCCTGTACGATACTCGTAACTCCTAACTTACCCCCGTACAGGTGATGTGCGCACTCGCGACGATATGATATTATTATTGTCATATTCACGTGAATCCCGCGCCCCACCACCCCACATCACCGATGCACTTCCTTCACCCCGGCAGCGAGGAGCGCAAACGCGCGACTCCGGAAAATCAAGGAGTCGCCGGAGCTCTTCATATCCTGGTTTCCTTTTCTCACCACCACCCACTCAGGCCAGCCAGCTAGGCTAAAGTCAGTTCTGAGTGAGAGGTTGTGAACTCGGGTTTGCCCAGGGGTGGTCAGCCTCGTAGGCGGTATGTGGCTTGCGATTTTGGTTGGAACCGGGGGAAGGGGTCTTGGTGGCGGAAGGGGAGGGAGCGGAGATGTGCGGGTGCTGGGGTGGTAAAAAAAAAAGGAAGTTTTGTTTCGATGATTGTGGGGACGGTGAGCCTTGTTCGCGCAAGAAGAGATGGGGGGGGGGGTGAGGGGGAGTGCCTATGCACTCGATGCTCTGCTGCGGGGGATTCCAGGCTCCCCACGAGCACTGTACTCGTCGCACATTCTGATATTATACTGTATAATACCCTAGGTTATCATGTCCCGCCAAAGTACTCCTACAAGAGTACTGCTCGAGTATATGGTACCGGTATTAGGTCAGAAAAATAAAAAAATCCTTCGCAATTACAATTCTACAAGTATGATACTCGTACAGTACAAAGCATGAGTGGTACTCGAGCACTGCCGGCAGTATGATACTCTCTACGAGTCGTTCTCCCTCCCCTTATCGCCCAGTCACGCCTTAATCAAGCGACACGGTAGGGATGGTTAACGCGCCCAGAGACAAGATTACAAAGAACACTCGTTCGCTCGCTTGTGCAATGATCTGGCATGTGAATTAACGAAATGAGAGTTCGCTTCGTTTTTTCTCCTCCCCACCCAATTCCGTGGATATGGCACCGAGTTCGGTGGGGTAATAATTTAGGGTGCCACTCGAGCAGACTGTATTTGTGCCGAACTGGACCGGAATGTCTCTTTTTTTGTTCTTTTTTGTCTTTCTTTTCCCCTCTCCTTCCTTCCCTGCATCCTCTCGGTCGCTTCGATCGCAGTGTTGCAAGGAGGGAGGGGGCACTGTACCGGCTGCTCGGCCGGGCGCGTGATGGATGGACAGAGATCAAAGGGTGGAAAAATGGCTCACTCCCTCACGGCATCGGTGAGTAAGCCGTGGTTGGGATGGAATTTGGAGAAACTTGGAAGTTCGCTACCGCTTACAGGTTACTGGTATGGTGAGGAGATGGAAAGCAAGGGGGAAAGAAAGAAGGAAAGAGGGCCCGAGCGGGCGAGGGGGTGGTTCTCCATCATCACAACCAATATTTTGGTCGGATGGTGGTGGTGATGGCGCGGGAATGTATGGTATAATAACTGAATTTGGACGCGGAGTTGGAGTTGGGTCGCAAGTACGAGTGCTGAGCAACTGGCAGCATTGCGGTGGTATCATGTAATATCATAGATGGGAATTGATTGCTCCATGCGGAATTTCGTTCGGTAGGCGCATGACATACCAGAACTCCTTGGCAGGGCATGATTGAATTGTATTGAAACTGTTGGAAGGAGGAGTGGCCTTCCTCATCGTGATACCAGTGTGGCCGAGCATGGGGTACCGGTATTGGGGGGGTGATACCGCACTCGTACCACTCCTGCCGACCGTAATCTTTACCAACAACTTTCTCTGCTCCCGTTCGTTCCTAATATAATAGATTAAGTCACAACTTGTACGAGCGCAATTTGTCTACGATTCGAGTGGATCTGAAAATTTGGCGAAAAAAGAGTCCTCAGCCGGGAGGCCAAAAAAAGAGCGGCGTGGTCTCCATCCCACCCATCCCATCCATTTGTGATATTCGTCTATTCCCAGTGGGCCCAGACCATCCCGCCCGACCGTTCGTCGAGCCTAAAAAAGGATTCCCTCTCCAGCAATCCGGTCGTCTCCCACACCCACAATTCTTGGAAACCAAATCCTTGTTCCCCAAAGAGGCAAAGTTTCTCAGCAGCGACCGTCCTGACCCGGTGCCTTGCGTCATGTAGAGTACTCGAGCGCTATGCTCGAGTACCGTGCCGGTACCGGTACAGTACTCTGCAGCACTTGTACCATATGGCCGGGCCGCTGGGACTTGCAGGGGTTGAGGAAGGGGATGACTTTTGGGGAAGATCGGAGTCTGATCTTGTTTACTCGAGTATATGTAAGGAAAGGGGATGGATGATGACGATGGTGAAGATGATGGCGATGATGATGATGATGATGGTGATGAATGGATAGGGAGGAGCGAAGGGGAATGGGAAAATTGGAAAGTGGCCAGGCCCGCGTCATGCCATGTTACAGGTGCTTGTAGAATCCGTCACGCTCTGGAGCTTCAGCTGCTTTGGGACATTCTTTTGGGGGCGGTGTTGAGGGTTCGGAACGAATGGATGAATTAATGAACGGACGGGCGGGCCTTGACAGAGAAATTACTTGTATTATCATGTCATGCTCGTGTCCACCGCTTGTTGAGGACGGAAGGCTTTTGCCGTGGCGCACAAGTGTGGACTGTATGGCTGTAGTTTATGGGTGTTGCTACCGCACCCTACCGGTGTTATGACTGTGATGGATGGAGATGGGTTGGAGCATGGTATCATACCGTAATTTAAGGTTGGGCAATGGATGGTGTGGCTCTGTTTTTTTCCTCACGGCCTGTTGCTATTTTATTTTGTCTTCGTGAGGGTTCCGCTCCAATTTACTGGATCGTGTCCAAAAGGGATTCAGCTTTTCCTCGAGTCACTTCTATCGTAGCTCCTTCTATCTTTGTGGTTGATATATTGGTGGTCACGGCGAAGTTGGGATGAACGTGGTATCATAGGTAATCCGGTTGCCCTTAGAGAGTGGGAAGGGGAGAAAAATGGGATGGTTGGTTGTGAGTTAACCCTTGCTTGGCCTTGCTTGCTGAGCTGAGCGCACGGGAGGAGGGAGGATCTGGCGGGTGCTCTTGTCCCCCCAGCTTTCCTTCCTGCCAGGAACAGAGTCGATCCCGACCACTTGCAACCTCTTCCCTGAACTCACCCGACGGTCTCAATCCTTGGCCTTTCGTCACCACACACACTCTCTCCACACACTCACACACACGCCGCACCGAAAAGTCAACACTCCTTTTCCTCCTCTTGCTCCTTCCGTGTTCCCATCATCCCGCATCGCAATCTGGTGTGTTCGCTCGTTCACTTTCTTTTTTTTCCCTCTCTCTCTTCTCACCCCTCCTCGACGCTGTCCGCTTTGTCGGGTTCACTCTTTTAATAATTCTCCTACCTTTTCTCTCCTTTTCTCTGCGGACGGCAAGGTGTGTGTGTGCGCGTGTGTGTTTGTATGTGCGTGAGTGTGTGCCTCTCTGTATGGTGTCAGAACATCCAGAGCCTCACGTCAGAAAAAATATCCATGATCAAAACAAACCCAAATACTGACTGATCCACTACCCTACAGTTAGCCCTTTTCTTACAACACCCACCTGCCTGCTTCTTGCACTGCACACCTTTTCCCTTGCTCTGTTTGCCCAGTTTCGTCGGCTCCAATTCGTCCAGGCCTTTACTCGTACGTGGCAGCGGGGACAAGTACCGCTGCAGTTACGTGCATTGATCTGATCTGAGGAGGACACGAGGCATTCGCAAACAAGAGGGTAGCTTCTTTTTTCGTCAGCCTCCTTCCGCCTCTCATATACTAATCCGAGAGCCGCCTGTGCCAGTCCCATCAATGACTCTTTCACCTCTCGCGTAAAAAATCCAGAGTAAATTCTTGAGATCCCTCCCGGCTATTTGGCAGTGCTAGGAAGGGGATTGGGAGCGAGAGCACAAAAGAGAGGGATCGGGAATTCGTCGGCAGGCATTATGGCGGCTTCTACACCACATCCTCAGTTATTGGCCTCAGTGCCTTCGACCGAATCATCACCACCCCCTTCCCCGGTTCCGCTGGACGCTTCTGCTTCGATAAAGCAATCCAGCGGTGTCGAATTTAAACATCGATTTCTACCTTTGCCTTTTCATCGACCCCTTGCCGCATCAACGTCCGATCATCCCAATATACCTGCCGCCGCCCCCGACCAGTCAGCTCGGCCACGTCTTCCGGGTCGACAGGAGACTCCACCCTCCCCTCCCAATTCAGTTCTACTTGATCAGTCCCCAACCTCTCCATCTCAGCCCACGCTCGCGCAACCTATTGCGGACCATCCCTCCTCACCTCAGTCTATCTCCGGAACGAATGTGGAGGGGCCGGGAGTTACTGAGCATCAAACGCCACCTCCGTCACTAAAGGACAGGCTTGCCCGGGCCTTCAAGGGTCACAAACGTGGGGAATCCGATGTCAGCATGTCCACAAACATCAATCCTAGAGACGGTGCTTCAACATCGAATCATCGTCATAATAATTCCGGTTCGACTCTGGTCACTTCTGCTACCACCACAGCCCAAAATATCAGAGATAACAACAACAACAGCACTATTCTTCAAACTTTTGCATCCAAGACTAACCTGGGCTTTTCTCCCACAAAACCAGACTTTTACACACACCAATGGGCCTCACCCATTCGTCCCAACAGTCAAAATCACTATACTTATGGCCATGGGGGCACAAAGCGGAGGATTATGAACGGGGGAGAAGTTCGTGTCGAGATCCTGCCACGTCCGAGTGTGATCGCAGAGAGAAGTACTCATGAAGAGGGAGGGAAACCCGGTTTGTTTGAGGAATACAAGGAACAGGGAGGTGGTGATGCTTACAAGAGTCACGGTGTCGATCACGTGAGATGCGATCAGCATGAAGACGGATACCTTTTCGAGGCACCGAATCCCCTCCGCCATGGCGGCCGACGTTCGCAGAACGACCTCGACGATTACCTCCCACCGTTGAATCTTAGTCTGGGAACTATGGGGGACTCTTCACCACGCAGCCGAACGGCGACCAGTCTCGAGACCGTGCTCTCCGGCGACAGTGATTCTTCGGGCGGTAGCCGGGAGCGTAGGTTTGTCGAAGAATCGACAGCCTCTTTTAACTTCGAGGACTTGCGCGCGGGGTCTGAGAATGATAATTACTTTGCTGGGTTTCCGAGTCCTAATCCCGACAGTGGCTCTGCGCTCACGGGCCTCTGCGGTTCCAGCGGTATGGCAAGTAGTGGGGTCTTGGCTTCCCTGAGCCAGGGAGACCTTAGTACACAAGCAAGGAGTAATTCATCACTCGGGGGCTACACTACGGGTAAGAGTAGTAGTGGTGCTGTGGGTAGATCGAGTAGTTCTCACCTTCTAGCTCTCCAGAGGGGCCAAGTGCCCGGCTCAGGAACCAGCCCGATGGAAGATGCTGTTGGCAAAGAACTAAAGAGACTGAGTAAGATTTCGGCGGGAAGTGGGGTCAGTGGTGTGGCTATTGTTGTCACATCAGATGAACCTGATTCCGACTTTGGTGAAGGTTCTGACGATGACGCCGATGATCAGAGGTGGACCAGAGAGGAGAAGGGCAAGGGAAGGGCGCCTCGTTCTGTGGGAAGTGGTAATGGGAGTATGGCTGAACGCAGCGGAAGCGACGCACGCCTTGGAAACTACAAGGAACACCATCGTTCGGGGAGCGGAATGAGTAGAGTTAGTGGGTGGTCTTTGGGAGATCAGAGTGGTGGAACTGGCAGCGGTAGTGAGGGGGGAGATGATGATTCGAGGGAACTGCTTAAGGGTGTTGATCAGACTAAAAAGCGGAAGCTGAAGTCTCAGGTGGCTCCTAAAGGAGTGTTGGTGCACGAGGGAGATGGGAGGTACGACTTGTGAGTCCCCCCCTTCCTTCCTTCAAGAAGTTATATACACATTGGATTGGAGAAAAGTTTCTGACTGCGAATAGCGTTTATCGTATGCGCCGTACTCCAGACGAGACACCCATCCTAGTTCCACAGTATACGTTCTCCTCTGAATCCTCCTTCCCCAACCGCAACGCCCTTACTTTGCCGATACCTGCCAAGATCTCGTCCCCTAACCTTCGCGGTGCGGATCACATCCCTCTCGCCACACGCTACGGAAGTTCTCCTATTACTAAGCCCGAGGGAGCTGTTGTCCGATCTCCCGATTTAAACGATTCCTACTATGGTGCTGTGATACGGGGTGGCCAGGCCGACGATTCTCCTGCTCACTCTGCAAGATACTCTGGATCGCACAAGTCTATTTCTCAGTCTATGAGTGATAGCCAGATGGGGGAACTGATCCATCCCGCCCACAGGCAAGCTTCGCGTGGGGGGAGGGATAGGGGTGTGGTTTCTATGGGAAGTCTGGAGGGTATCGTGGGGATTGGTTTGAGACCGATGCCCTCCCCAGGGCTTTCTGGAGGTAAATTCGTCGGTAGTAGTTTGGCCGATACCAGTGATATAGGCCATCCACTCGAAGATACTACTGCTAAGAGCAGTATCAATCAGAAGAGAGTCCGAATGAGCGCCAACCTCGACGAAATTGCTCCTGCCCCTCAGCATTACTTTGAGCGCGAGCCTGAAGTTCGGAAAAAGCGGAGGAGTTATCTTCCCCCCGCCCTGGGCCCACGCCCTATGAGACCGAAGGACTTGCGTAGGAGCATGACTCCGCATCTTTATGCCCCTAGACCACTTGGCGATTCCTGGAAAGATCTTGCTGACATTGAGAGCTTGCCTGATAACGAACAGACCCTCGAATATAGGAAGAGGGAAAGGAGGGTTGGGAGACTCCTCCTGGTATTTTGCATGCTCTTCCCTCCGCTTCTCTTGGTGGTTGCTTGGGGAGGATTCGATGTTACGGTTGAAGGGTGGACTTCTGGTCAACTTAAGGGTGTCGGAAGGGTGGAAAAGAGAATTGCGGCCTGGGTCGGTGGTACCTTTGCAGTCTGTGTGGTCGCCGGTATTATTGCTGGCGCGGTGGTGGTTTCCATTTAGCTTTCATTTTTCCTTCTCATCACTGGGCGGTTTCCATTGAATTTGGGTGGGCGGTGCATTTGCCATTGTTTTCGCACTTTTTTTTTTCATTCTTATACATTCTAGGGAGCTCTTCGGGGCATCGGTAATCTCTTTTTCTCCTTTCTAGTTCAGGTGATTCAATACCCGTGGCGCGATTGCATTGTCATATCATTTTATTCTTTTCTCCTTTTTCAGTTTACCCCCGAAGTCATTTAGATGGCTGCCCTTTTTTTCTCTTCCCCCTTTAACCATGATATTATCGCCCTTCATTTCATGTATTATTATTACACCCCATATTTCGCCCTTCCCTACAAGTTTGCTCCATTACCACCGCTGGAGGAAATGTATTAATGATGGTACGATCTCTGCCGTGAATGGCGCATAGGGAAAGGTAGTTAGTTTGGGGTCGGGTTTAGCGGCGCAAAAATTTGGGTTTTAAACTGTATCATTATTCATATTCCTCTTCTTTTTTCACCTATTTTTCCATCCTTCTTGTATCATTATATTACGGGAGAGACATGATACCCAGTCCTTTTTCCTTTCTTTCTTTTTGTCATGTTGGGGACGGGTTGGTAGGAAGGGAGTTTGTGCTCGGGGGGGAGGCACTCTGACAGTTTATTAGTTTTAAGACTTAGTGATGGTGTACCGGTAGAGGATGGGTTGTTGGAGATGACGGAGTCGGATGGAGGAGGGATGAGGAGGACGTGTGCTAAATTAGGCCAAATAAAATAAAAACAAAGAAAAAATGGATTTTCCATAACGATAGTAGTTGCTAACTTCGCGTGCGGTGTGGTTTTGGTGCGAGTAGGGGGGGGGATTGTTTGCACTGGTCCTGCAGTATGTCGTTAAAATTGAATTGCAGGTCTAGTATTAATATCCTCCGTGCTCGCTCGGTTCAGGAATACCACGTGGGGTTGATCATTAACTGCATTGCGCATCAGAGATCCGGCGGGAGCGGGCGTTCGTGGGTTGAGCGAGCGTCTCTATGTAGTTCATTCGGGAGGTGGCCTGGTGTGCGCTGTATCGTGCTGCGTTGGGCGTGCTGGGTAGTGTAGGGTTCGGTAGGTGGTGGTACTTTCCAACTTTCTTTTATGATACCTTGTGCCCTATGCGGGGAGGGCGGAGTGTGGGGCATGTAGGAGTTGGAATAGCGGCACCAATGTACGATGGGCAGTGTAAAAGAGTTGTTTTAGCCTTTCTGCGCTTTCTTTCTGCCTTGGATGCCGTTTTTGTGTAGGGATTGAACGACAATGGTTGAGTCCTTGTTGCGGCTCCTATGATGCAGCATCAGGATGTTGCACTCGGGTCTTTGTCCAATTGTAATGCACGTTACGTAATCAGCACTAGCCACAGCAAAAACAGAAAACGAGGAGCCAAGTGAGCATCAGGCTTTCTCAGGTTGGGCTCCTGTGACTAAGCCCCGTCGCTCACCTTCGCCCCTCCCCAGCCCCATCGCGTTTCTGCGACAACGCAGCCAACCCTCTGCGACGCCATTTCCAGATTTCCTTCGCTCTTCCTCCTTCCTCGACAACATCCTGCTCCATCCGCCCACACTCTCGTTCTCCTATCTCGCCATCTCAACCTCCTGTTTCCTGTTTCTTCCTTCACCTCTTCCTCCTCTCGCTTGTATTGAGCGGGTGTCGGGGTATAGCAAGGAAAATATAGAGAGGGCTTTCGCGTTTGGTGCAATATTTTTTTTTCCTTGAAAGAGAGAAAAATCCCAGGGGTGTGTGTCTGCGAAAAAGAGCGTGTCAACCGGTCCTCCCTCTCCCACCACTCCCATCTCCTCCCCCCAGCCTGACCACAAACCACACAACAAACTTGGCAAAAGGCGGTGCGAGAGAGTAAGAGAGACGATATTCTTTTCTTTTTCCCCCTTTTTCTTTTTCTTCTTTCTGCTCTCTCTCCCTTCTTGAGAAACAGGAGGGTATATATCCTTTATCAATATCCTTGATAATCAAATGTCTAAACGCCGATCAGAGAGCCAACTGACTAGAGAACAATTCGACAAGATGAGCTCGAATGGTTTCAACTTCTCAGCGAATCGCGTAGGAAATGGAGTTGGGGGTGGTCCGGAAGACGTTACCGATCCTTCCATGATGGCAGATAGAGCTACTCTCTCTCATCGAAAGTAGGTTTTTTCTTTTCTTTTTTTCTTCTCCCCATCCATTCATTCCCTTTATCTCCTTATCTTCCCTCTTTTCGTCTTCGCTCCTTTTCGTCTCCCCCTGATCTCCTGTTTTACCCTCAACTTTTGTATCGCTGGATGGCGATGCTGATGAATATCTGTGTGGTTTAGAATAGCACCCCTGAAACGGGGCCGTGGTGGTGTCAGAGCAGGAGCCAGGACTGGAGGAGGTGACAATATTCCGAATCTTTTCTCCGGAGTAGCCGGGGGTGTGACATTCGGTGCCTCCAATGGAACGGTGCAACAACCACAACAGTCTTTCGGTGGGTTCGGATTTGGAGCGACAGGCAATAATAGTTCTACGTCTACCGGGTTTGGCGGGAGTTCTGCTGGAGGATCCTTCGAATTTGCGGCTAACAATAATAATGGGCAACAAGAGCAATCGAAGCCCAATCCCTTCGCATCTCTTGGCGCAAGCAGCAATGGGACTATGTTCCAGACAGCGGCCCAGCCTCAAGCTACATCTTTATTTGGCGGTAATTCATTTGGTTCCAACAACGCAAGTCAGACCTCTTCAGCAACCCCTGCTCCAAGCTTTGTCTTTGGAGCTACCAACAACAGCTCTACCCCCGCTCCTCCTGCAACGGAGAATTTTAATAAAACTCCTTCCTTTACTTTTGGTAGTGGAAATACCAGCACACCGACAATGTTTGGCGGCACAGGAGATAGCAGCAATAACAACAAGTCGTCGTTCACCTTTGGTACAAACAGCGGTGTAAGCGGAGCGGCTTCTCCGGTTGCTGCCCCTGCCGCTTTTGGCAGCTTTGGTTCCAACGCCGGCTCTTTGGCTCCTCTCTTTGGAAGCACCCCGAGCCCTGCCCCAGTTCTCGAGAAGACTCCCGAGCCGACTCCTGCCATCGCGGCTCCTCAGCCAACGTTTTCCTTCGGTGCCGCAACACCGGCCTCATCATCTACCGGAAACTCTTTGTTTTCAAAGCCCTCGGAACCGTTGTTCAAGCCCACCCCATCTCCCGAACCGCTGGCTTCAGGTAGTCTCTTTGGAGCACCTAAGCCATCGCCGAGCCCTGAGCCGTCGGCTGCAAGCCCTGGGCTGTTTGGGTCTCAAACTACTGCCTCTACTGGATCTGGTGGTCTGTTTAATTCTTCTGCTGCACCTGTTGTTAAACCGCCTACTTTTACTGGATTTGGTCCTCCTGCGCAACCGCCCACACCTAACGCAGATGAGAAGCCGCCGACGTTCTCGTGGGGCCCACCTAGTGAAGAGCCAAAGAAGGCCGAGGAAGCTCCCAATGCCCCATTTGGAGGGTTCGGTGCCCATACGATCGACCCCCAGCAGGAAGCGCCCGCTCCCAAGCCCTTCACTGGCTTTGGTCAAGGACCGGAGGAGCCTGCCAAGCCTTTGTTCGGATCCTCGGCTCCCTCGACAATTGGGTCAGGTCTTTTTGGGAAACCGGCTGAGAACAGGCAAGACACCCCGGCGCCTTCCACACCTAGTCTCTTCAACAGGCCGGCCGAGACCTCAACCCCTAGCTCCTTTGGTAAACCCACTGAGACTAAACAGGATACACCGGCAGTTTCCGCTGGTTTATTTGGAAAGCCTACTGGACCTTCAACTTCCAACTTTTTCGGTAAGCCGGCGGAAGCGAAGCAGGATACTCCTGTAACCGGGTTAAAGAAAGCGCCTACGTTCGAAGGTTCTCCAATTACTTTCGGGAAGAATTCCGTTTCTGCTTACGGTGGATCCGGTATTTCGCCGTTGTCTCCGGCACCCGTCAATCAGTTTGTTCCACCTGCTCCTCCTGCACCCAAGGCTGCTGAGCCGACTGTTTTCAGTGCGGCCAACGTTCGAACACCATCGCCTCCACTGCCATCAGATGCTACTTCATGGGCACCGGCGCAGCTCACGGAGTATTATAATCTCTACGGACTTCGCTCTTTGAACTATAGGTTTTTGGAAGCACTTATGAAGGCTGATCAATTTGGTGATTGGAGCTCTGCTTGCGAGATCTATGTTAGGGAGGCCTCGCGTATCAAGACTTGCCAGGAGAATGGGGAGAGGTATAAAGGGGCTTCTGGGGGGCATGCTAAGAGGGCGTTGACGGAGGGCGAGGACGGTGGAGGGAAGAGAAGGAAGGAAGAAGGTATTTAGCTTTTATTTTATTTTTGCTCCCTATTGTTCTTTAGCCTCGGCATTTCCCTTTTCATATATTCCGACAGAAAAACACTTGAGAGGTCGACATGATTGTTTTCCTATCTAAGGGTTGAGTTGGGTGCGAGGGTTTCGTGTCTTGTGTTTTTTTTGGTTCAGTCTTTTGGTGCTGCGCCCCGGGTTGGGGGCTGGGATAATTGCTGGTTCTTGGTGACTTCTCTATAACCGTGGGAAGGACATGATGGACGAAGCGACGGGTTACAGCCTTCTAGTACCTGGTCATCACCATTAGCAGCCAATCCAAACCAACCCTGGCCCAACTACCCATCCATCTCTGCACCCTGCCCTAGACAGTCTTGTCGAATATTTAGCATGTTACAACTGCCTTCATTCATCATTATCACCTGTTCCCCCTGAAATTCCAGCTCCCTTCCTTAAGATCGACGCGGTACCTTGTGTCAGCTCGCTCATTCTTTATTCTAACATCTTTTGCCTAATGCAACCTAGACTCGACTAAAAGATCGAATTTTTCGGATTCCCCCCTTGGTGTTAATGCCGAAAAGAAGGATTGGCAAAGCCTGTCCAGTGCACCGTTATTCGGATTCAAGCCGCCTTCCCTATCTGATGCGAAGTCGAGCTCTTCCTCGCACCCCGCGCCGCTGCCTACCGCGCCTCTTTTTGGGTTTAAGCCTCCGGAGGGTGGTGATGGCAACAATTTGTCGAACGGGCGTAAGCTGGCGTCGGGCCCGGTTCACGGGTTTAAGCCCCCCGGGGCACTTGGGGATAAGGGCGATAAGCCGAAGACAGGTGTGTTACTTGGGAATTCGCCTGTATTTTTGGGCAATGTTAACTTTGTTCCAGGTGGAAGCGTGTTTGATAGTCCCAGCGCGCCTGTCAATAACAGTGGCTTCGTGAATCCGTTCTCGAAGGTCAGCACAGACGACATTGTGGTTGAGGAGGATGATGACGATAATGTGGGTGCCAACAAGAAGGCTAGCAGTGGCAGAAGCCTTTTCGACCGGATATCAGAGCCACTCACGGATAAGAAAGAGGGTGGATTCTTTGGAAGTCCAAAAATTGGGTTCGGTGAACCATCCTTACTTGGTAAAAAGGTTGATGACGCCAACCCGAATAGCCTTTTTGGCAGTGTCAGCGAATCTGCTTCCGCTTCTTCTACCTCGGCCGCAACGCCTTCTCTCTTTGGCACCGCCACAACCAGCAAGCCAGAGGTCGGCTTTTCGTTTGGTGGCCTGAATAAGCCAGCAGGCTCGATATCCGTGCCCCCTTTGAACCCCAGTCTTCTCCGACCGACCTCAGCCCTGTCCCGTAATAGTAGTGACGGAAATACGACAAGCGCTGTATCCACTCCTGGTGCAACAGAAACTGATGCCTCGGAACCCAATGATAACGCTCATAATGCAAAGAACGACCTTGATCTCTCCGGCCCTGGTCCTGGAGAGGAGGACGAGGATTCGAAATACCAGATGAAAGCCCTTGTATATGAGTCCACCAAGGAGTCTTTCAAGAAGACCGGCTCGGGTACTCTCCGTGTACTCAAGAACCGTGAGAACTGTAAGGCACGTATTGTCGTCCGCACTGATATCGGAAAAGTCATCCTCAATGTCGGTCTCAATAAGTTGCTTAATTACACTGTTGTGGACGACAAGAAGAAGAATAGCATACGGATCCCAGAATTCCTGCCCGGCGGTTCAACGAGAACTTGGCTAGTGAGAGTAAAACTAGCAGAAGATGCGGCAAGATTGGCAACGGTTATGAACGAGGAGAAGTTATGAAGAATGCTCTACTGAGTTAGAGCGGTGTTTCTTTTCTGCTTGTCTTTTCTGTTTTCCTCCATCTCCTCTTTCCCCCCTGCAGCTAAATTTCCGTCCCCTTCCACAAAGGCTTTGCTCCTATTCCATAAAAATGTATTTCATCTTTTATATTTCATTTTTCTCCTCGGAAACCAACATGCATTCCGCCAATTCTTTGTTTTGTTTTCTTTTTTCTTTCTTTCTCTTTTTCTTTTACTGCAAATTCATCAATTGGATAAATGGGTTTTATCATTCCGTAGGGTTTTTGTTTTATTATTTTTTCTGGGAAAAAATCTAATTTCTGTTTTCCGTTCTTTTCTTTTCCCCATCTTCTACTCGAGTACTGAGCCGTGCATCATGTGTGTCTGTTTCTCTCCCCCTCTCTACCTGTGTGCGTGTCCGCGTGTGTATTTGTATATTAGTTAACCCCCCCTCTTTTATCCTTGCTTCTACTTGTGTTGCTCCCGTAGCATAATCCGGAGTATCGTATCGTATCGTAACAGTAGCCTTTTGTTGTTAACCCTATGATAGTACATCTTTTTTCCTTGTTTTTTTTCTCTCCTTTTTTCTCTTGTCCTATTTTTTCACGTGCTTGGTTTGAGGGTGAGCGCGAGGAAGGCGAGCGGGGAAATTGTGATAAGAAAAATTGGGAAATTAAAACGTCTGAACTCCTGTGAAACGAGTGAAACTCAGATGGTATTGTCATAGGAAGATAGACTAGGTGGTGCTCGAGTGCTTGAGTGATATCGTACCCATAGACTACCCGTAAAAGCACGGTAGCAGGGCAGGGACTTAACCCGAGTACCGAGAAGAGAACAATGGGATTGTGTCGTGAGGTTGGCTGTTAAATTAACCGACGTTCACATGTGTGAAATGGGTCGGCTGCCCGAGAGTCGGGAGCCTTCGATGGCTACGATACTTAAGAGGATCGCCCCCGTAGTTTGCTCTTTTCCTCCTCCTCCTCCTCGCCCTCCCCGCCCCTTGCCTTTCTGACGGACCGAGTGTATTTCCGCTACATTACCGAACTGGACGTGTCGTGCCCAGTAAATAACCCCATCCATCCATCCATACAAACCAAGCCTCGAATAACTGGGTAAAAAGCCGACAGTCATGACACTCGCATCTGGTTTTCCCTTCCCCTTCCACCTTTCCCAACTGGCCCTCTAACCACCCTCGCACTCACAGAAAACTTCCCCTCCTCCCCTGCTTTCGACCTGATCGCCGCCTCCCTCACCGCCCCCGCCGCCAAATCCGACGCACTCAAAAAAGGCAAAGCGATCTTTGCCTTCACCCTAACCAACAAGGCAAAAGAGACCGAGTCCTGGTACCTAGACCTCAAGACCACCGGCAGCGTCGGCAAAGGGCTAGCGCCCCAGGGTGAGAAGCCCGATGTTGTGCTGTCGCTCTCGGACGATGACTTTAAGGGATTGATTGATGGGAAGGCGGCGGCGCAGAAGCTGTTTATGGCGGGAAGATTGAAGATTAGGGGGGATGTTATGAAGGCTACAAGGGCTGAGGGGGTGTTGAAGAGCGCTAGGGCAGGGGCGAAGGCAAACTTGTAGGGGTGAGGGGGATGAATGGGACGATGTGTACTTTTAGAGTTGGAACGGGCGGCCTTACCAGCATTGGGCGGGATATATTGGCTGTTTGTTTCTTCCACCCGACCACCATGTATGGTGTTTTTCCTTTTTTTGTGACATGCTAGTGTTTCCGTCAACGATCAGAGCCATCTCAATCAAACATAGTACAATACAACACCCCCGGTAGGTAACAAGAATCATCGCCATTAACACAGTGGGTAAAACCTACTATCCCACTACCGCATACAGTAGACTACCGTAAATCCTTCCCCGCTATCACTGTGAGCCCGCGCATCCCGCAACCCTCTAGGCAACCCTCTAGACTTGTCCGTCATGAAGCACCCAAGATCTATCTTGGGTGTTCCCCACCATCCGTTTCCTACCCCCCAAACCGAAACCAAGGCCAATAAACCATCATATACCGCCCCGCCAGGTGCCGTTTTGCGCTTTCAGAGCAGCCAGAGAAATGCAAGAGCACATCCCAACACCCAGGGAGTAAATGCTACCTAGATAGTTCTCTACGTAGCCCTCCGTAATAAATGATTTAAGCATTATCGTATGGGTAATTGTTTTTTTTTTTTTTCCGAGCGCATAGTGAACTACAGTACACCGCTTCACATGCTACGACGGACTAGAAGAGCCACCACCATCACATCACAGGCTTACTCTGAAAACCGCCATCGATATACCTTAGATTTCGAAGAAGCGCTGGGTGTTTGGTGGATGCGCGATGGGGTGCAATGTGATGGTATAGTAATGCCGGTAGTGGAGAGTTGTTGTATTATGAATGTGGGGGAACACAGTCGTTAGTATGTTGAAGTATAAGGGCTACTGTATGATATATTATGTGTGAGTGTGGGCATACGGGTAGTCCTAAGTGTGGGTAGATAGATGACCGCCTGACATGCCCACAACTTTGTGCATATATATAGAGGTAGATCTCCACTCTCCGAATCTTAAGCTTTCCTCGATTTATACGACCGTCATTACACTTTCGTGGTCCGCTATCTGTCCACGTCTGTGTCCATCGTCACCTCCATCACGACCGAGCGATTCCTCACTTCTATCATAATGCTGGTGGGATTCGGAAGTAATTCTCGGGGAGGGGCGGTATAATGCCATGCGGTTTCTAGATGCGAATCTGTGTCTCGCTTGCGAGTTGGGTGGTGGGCTTGTTGGTGCCGGGCATGTGTTTGTTGTAATAGGTGTTGTCATGATTGAAGTTTTATTTTGCGTTCATTCGGGAGGGTGCTGTTTTAAGTTGTCTAGTCATGAGTGATCACTCCTGTAGGGATAGGGTTCGAACCGTAAGGAACGGTATGTTTATCAGAAAATACAATACATACAGTACTAGAAGCCCGCCTCGATCCTCAAGGGTCACCACCTGCCTGTATATTTTGAAGAGGAAACAAAATATTCTCTTAGGATTTGAAAGTTTAAGTGTAGTATATAGGAGTAAAGTGTTCTACCTTACATAGTAGCATATAAATTATATTTGTACCAGCAAGGGTAACAGTATTGGAGTAGTATGTTCATCATTGATACCTATTCAAAAGTGTTTGTAATTTTAATAAAAGATAAAAAAATCAAGACTCTGTAAATTCATAGCAGGTAGTCCTACTTTTTAGTACTGGATACATTAATAGGAAAACTTAGAATAGAAATTTCAATTTTGAGACTGTATGCAAAGTAGACGGGTAGGAATTACATAGCAGGCATGGACAAAATCTGCTGCTTTTACAAGAAGGTATGACAAGGTGAGAAAAGGAAAGAAGAAAAAAACTAAGGCCCACTCGGCTTGCCGCAAAAATTGCAATTTTTCCACTTTAATACTAATTTTCTTTTGCTATTTAGATATATTTAAATTGGGCCATACTTGGCTGGCCAGAAGAATTGTAATTTTTTAAAATTGTTTCTCAATTTTGTCAAATTGAAAATTTTATCAGGAATGAATGAGATATAGAGTAACTGAGTTCTTCAACGATAATGTACAATTGATATAGTGTAGAATATTGTAACAGGGGCTCTTTGTAGAAAGATGGATTATGAGGTTGTGAGCGTACCTTGAGGAATTCTTCTGGGAACAAATATAAGAAAATTTCAATGTCTCAGTAGTAGAGTTTGAAGAAATAAAACAGTAAAACTTAATATTGTTAATCCACAACTTTACTCAATTAAGTTCTGATCTCGAGAGCTAGTTGATTGCTAGAATAGAGTAGAACTCGCATATACTTAAGTAGATTTCATATACTGCCAGTTGCTTCCAATCACTACTCTGTGTTCACCAGCACCAAACTCCATTAAGCTGTCTAACTAACCTCCATGAGTCAGACTAAATATCCTCGGTAGTGAACTAGACTACTCTGTAGTTTGCTAATATTGTTAGACAGAGACAATCTGATTGACTTCAGAATTGTGTCAGCTAATTAAAATTCGTTTCTGTAGACAGAGATTGTCCAGGAAGGCTTGAATTCACTCGTTTCAATTATGACTACTAAGAGCGAAGTAAATTCGATAACAATATAATATTGTTTTTATGATTCTATCATACTTTAAGGTCTTTTCTCAGTTGCTTGATGATATCTAAAGTGTAGGAGGCACCTTGATATTTATATTCCACATCTTAGTTTTTGCGGACTACATCTATTTATTATGCAACTATGTACCTCTGTGAATATAACTTGCAATGTTGGGTATTTTTTAAATATGCAAACACCAGGAGACTGTGAAAATCATCACACTCTCTTCGGTAATTACAATATAACTAACTGGGAATCATACTATTCCCAATATTAATTATCTGATCATTTGAGTGAGCCGAGCGATTCTCTAGCCGGGTGGACAGCTGTGCTGATGGGAAGGGGATGTGAGAGTTGTTGTAATTGTGAAACAAAGTGTCGACAATAATCAAAGTAGATTGATGGTTTGTTTTGTTGACCTATGATCAACTGGTCAGGACGGGGGGAGAAGGGCGATACTTATACCTTTCTCCGAAGATGATGGTGGATGGGAGTCCATCGGGTGTGGAAGACGGGGGCGTGGGTTTGACCCTGAGCGCCCGTCGTGAGGCACGCAATAAAGTCGTGTGAGCCGAGCGAGCGAAGCGAGCGAGGCGATTCTCTAGCCGGGGGGACAGCTGTACTGATGGGAAGAGGACGTGAGAGTTGTTGTAATCGTGAAACAAAGTGTCGACAATAATCAAGGTAGATTGATCGTTTGTTTTGTTGACCTATGATCAACTGGTCAGGACGGGGGGAGAAGGGTGATACTTATACCTTTCCCCGTAGATGATGGTGGATGAAAGTCCATCGGGTGTGGAAGACGGGGGCGTGGGTTTGACCCTGAGCGCCCGTCGCGAGAGACGCAATAAAGTCGTCAAATCGCTAGTGGTGTGATGCGAAAAAATTGCGTCGCCGCTCGTGGGAGGGTGTGAGGCAATTTAGTTGTACGTCGGCGACCTCGTATTTCCAAGCGAGGTGTGGCACACCGATTTATCGGTGTGCATGCCGTCATGCATGCATCCTGCAAGTAAGCCGGAACCGGAAGGCTTGCCAGAATAGGTAGTCATCGTTCCGCATATGCGCGTACTAGGATCATCCCTACTAGGGCAATGCGCATGCATGCCTGCATGCGCATATGCACGAGCTCAACCGTGCATAGCCGGGGTGTGTACCGGATTAGTCTAGACAACTTCCAAAGCGGGTGAGCCGAGCGAGCGAAGCGAGCGAGGCGATTCTCTAGCCGGGCGGACAGCTGTGCTGATGGGAAGAGGACGTGAGAGTTGTTGTAATCGAGAAACAAAGTGTCGACAATAATCAAAAGAGATTGATCGTTTGTTTTGTTGACCTATGATCAACTGGTCAGGACGGGGGGAGAAGGGTGATACTTATACCTTTCCCCGTAGGTGATGGTGGATGAGAGTCCATCGGGTGTGGAAGGTGAGGGCGTGGGTTTGACCCTGAGCGCTCGTCGCGAGATACGCAATAAAGTCGTAAAATCGCTGGTGGTGTGATGCGAAAATCTGCATCGCCGCTCGAGAGAGGGTGTGAGGCAAATAGTTGTGGGTCGGCGACCTCGTATTGCAAGCGAGGTGTGGCACACCGATTTATCGGTGTGCATGCCGTCATGCATGCATCCTGCAAGTAAGCCGGAACCGGAAGGCTTGCCAAAATAGGTAGTCATCGTTCCGCATATGCGCGTACTAGGATTATCCCTACTAGGGCAACGCGCATGCATGCCTGCATGCGCATATGCACGAGCTCATCCGTGCATAGCCGAGGTGTGTACCGGATTAGTCTAGACAACTTCCAAAACGGGACACTTACCTAAAACGGAAATATTTCCTATTTCGGAAAGTGGGTACGACCTTCCTATTACGGAAGTGGCGCGCCAAGAGATTTCAGCCCCATGTACCAGCCACCACGTGACGCCATCACGTGCCCATGAGCCACCGCCACACGCCACCGCCACACCGCCACAACGCCACAGCTCAGCCACTCACGTGACTGCGCCACAACGCCACAGCGCCACACCGCCTAGCCACACTAGCCGGTTAGGGTTAGGGGTTCGGGTTAGGGTTCGGGTCAGGGTTAGCCGAGCGAGCGAAGCGAGCGAGGCGATTCTCTTGCCGGGCGGACAGCTGTGCTGATGGGAAGAGGACGTGAGAGTTGTTGTAATCGTGAAACAAAGTGTCGACAATAATCAAAGGAGATTGATCGTTTGTTTCGTTGACCTATGATCAACTCGTCAGGACGGGGGGAGAAGGGTGATACTTATACCTTTCCCCGTAGATGATGGCGGATGAAAGTCCATCGGGTGTGGAAGACGGGGGCGTGGGTTTGACCCTGAGCGCTCGTCGCGAGAAACGCAGTAAAGTCGTTAAGTCGCTAGTGGTGTGATGCGAAAATTTGCGCTCGCCGCTCGTGGGAGGGTGTGAGGCAAATAGTTGTGCGTCGGCGACCTCGTATTCCAAGCGAGGTGTGGCACACCGATTTATCGGTGTGCGTGCCGTCATGCATGCATCCTGCAAGTAAGCCGGAACCGGAAGGCTTGCCAGAATAGGTAGTCATCGTTCCGCATATGCGCGTACTAGGATCATCCCTACTAGGGCAACGGGCATGCATGCCTGCATGCGCATATGCACGAGCTCATCCGTGCATAGCCGAGGTGTGTACCGGATTAGTCTAGACAACTTCCA